ACCAAACGTGTTATATACCAAACGTGTTATATACCAAACGTGTTATGTACCAAACGTGTTATATACCAAACGTGTTATATAGCAAACGTGTTATATACCAAACGTGTTATATACCAAACGTGTTATATACCAAACGTGTTATATACCAAACGTGTTATGTACCAAACGTGTTATATACCAAACGTGTTATATAGCAAACGTGTTATATACCAAACGTGTTATATACCAAACGTGTTATATAGCAAACGTGTTATATACCAAACGTGTTATATACCAAACGTGTTATATACCAAACGTGTTATATAGCAAACGTGTTATGTACCAAACGTGTCATATACCAAACGTGTTATATACCAAACGTGTTATATACCAAACGTGTCTACTCTGGTCTTGGCACGTGTGCTGGCAGATACAGTGCTGGTAGGCTGGTCTACATGATGACATTATTATGGATAAGAGAGATATTATTTGTATTTGTCAAACGTCAGCCAAGCATCGATGATCATGTCACCAGAATAAGAAACTTGATATTTAAAGGAGCATCAAGCTCATCACCCTGTGCCCTTTCACCACCCTGTGAAGTTCATCATAACATTTAATCTGTAGCCTAATAAACTGCATTGTTTCCCAAGTTGTAGTGGGAGGACCACACAACACATCATCGCGTGACTCCGAGTTTATTTCGATATGATGGTTATTATATCAATATTTGTGCATAAATGTGTTTCCACTGCCATTTCTCGCATTATTAATTTTACAGACACAAAAAGATCACAAAAATATATGTAATATTCGCAGGTTGACATTTATTGACACAGAACTGAGCAATTTCCCCTTAGATAAGCCGGCTGCAAAGTCAAAATTGGTTATATTGTAAAGATTCATGATAACAAAAATGTACTTTTTGGTCTTCATTTAAGGTTGGGGTTAGGCATTAGGGTTAGCAGTGTGGTTAAGGTTAGGTTTAAGTTTATGGTTCCCACTGGGCAAAAACTGGTTGAATCAATGTTGTTTCCATGTCATCTCAACAAAATAATTATATGTGATGACATTAAATCAACGTGGGAAACTGATTGAATTTGCAAAAAGTAATCAACCTAAGGGAATTTCTTATTTCTTTCACCCAACTTTTAACCTAAATCCAATGACATGGTGATATCTTTTGTTGATTTCACATTGAATTGACGTTAGTTGACAACTCAACCAAAACTAGACGTTGAAATGACGTCTGTGCCCAGTTGGTTAGGTTTAAAATCAGATGTTATGACTTTGTGGCTGTGCTAACAAGTGACCTCTCTGCAGAGCTGCCTCCAGGGCAAGATTCATGTCGAAAAAAAAAAAAAAACGCAAACCTTCGTTAATATTCTGTTCAATAATACGATACACTGGGTAGATGTTTTGTTTTCTAAGTGTCCTTTATGACCACAAAATATCATAATTTGGTCCGAAATAATAAGTGCCAAAATATGTATAGCCTTAATTTGTACTAAAATGATTTGACCTTTCTTCCATATATCACAGAAAGATAGTAGTACAGTATACTATCACCCTTTAGCCTACCAAAATATACTGTACAAAGACCTACTGTCCTGAGCAGTAAAGGCATATCCTGATATTCTATACAGCGCTGAACTAAACTGCACCATCCTATGCTATTCACTACACAGGGTTCTGTTCTAATCTAAAAACAGAATTGTAACCAAACGTGGTCTCAGGGCAATTTTATATTATTCTGTATGTAAATCTGGTGACCCTCCATTTACTATCACATGTTACATTAGGTTAGGCTACATTATGAATAGAATAGCGGTCACAATATCATACGAATTAGAGGCCGTATAGTGTGATATGTATTACCTGGCCGTGCAATAGCATACACATTTCATGATGTAAATAATAAGTCTTGGAGGATGTATAGTGTTGCAAGTTTGTATCTGAGACCAGGTTGCTTGGGGATAATTAACGTTGGTGGTTAGGGGAACTAACGACAAAGGTTAGGTGAATGTACTTAGCAGGTTAGATGAATTGGGTTAAGTTTAGAATAAGGGTTAGTTAAAATGCTACAGTTTTCCCTGACGCGACTCGAACATGCAACATTTGTATGGCTAGACTGTCACGGATTACGCCCACCCATCCTCCCCGACCAACATCCCTACTTCGTTTCTGTCTCAAGTAACTAGACCAGTAAGTATCATAGGTCTTGGAGGTGCTCAGAAATATGTAAAGTATGTTTTGTATGGCTCTGAGGACAGGCTGCTGTATCACATTGTGCCAATCATGCTTTTTAAAGGACAGAGCTCAGAGCTCCTCTATAGGTATTCCTCCACCCTCCACTCTCCACCCTCCACCCTCTACTCTCCACCCTCCACTCTCCACTCTCCATCTTCTACTCTCCACCCTCCACCCTCCACCCTCCACCCTCTACTCTCCACCCTCCACCCTCCACCCTCTACTCTCCACCCCTCCACCCTCCACCCTCTACTCTCCACCCTCCACCCTCCACCCTCTACTCTCCACTCCCCACCCCTCCACCCTCCACCCCTCCACTCTCCACCCCTCCACCCTCCACCCCTCCACCCTCCACCCCTCCACTCTCCACCCCTCCACCCCTCCACTCCTCCACCCTCCACCCCTCTACTTTCCACCCTCCACCCCTCCACCCCTCCACCCCTCCACTCTCCACCCCTCCACTCTCCACCCCTCCCCTCCCCACCCCTCCACCCTCCACCCTCTACTCTCCACCCCTCCACCCTCTACTCTCCACCCCTCCACTCTCCAACCCTCCACTCTCCAACCCTCCACTCTCCACCCCTCCACCCTCTACTCTCCACCCCTCCACCCTCTACTCTCCACCCCCTCCACCCTCTACTCTCCACCCCTCCACTCTCCAACCCTCCACTCTCCAACCCTCCACTCTCCACCCCTCCACTCTCCACCCTCCACCCCTCCACCCCTCCACTCTCCACCCCTCCACTCTCCACCCTCCACCCCTCCACCCCTCCACTCTCCACCCTCCACCCCTCTACTCTCCACCCCTCCACCCTCTACTCTCCACCCCTCCACCCCTCCACCCGCCACTCTCCACCCTCTACTCTCCACCCCTCCACTCTCCACCCTCCACCCCTCCACCCCTCCACCCTCCACCCCTCCACCCTCCACTCCCATCCCTTGATAATGTATCTGCATCTCTCCCTGAAGGCCAGAGCTCGTAGTGTGACCTTGCCTTGCTTCAGGGAGGTCGTCCTGTCTGGAAAGTACAAAGAGCTGAGACTGCGTCCCAAATGGCACCCTATTCCTTAGATTGGTCATAGTCCCCCATAGGGCTGGTCAAAAGTAGTGCACTATATAGGGGAATAGGGTGTCATTTGGGAGGCAACTCTGGATCCTGAATGGGCCATTTCTTCTGTTGTAACACACCCCTTTAATGTCATCAGTGAAATAGGAGGTCATTATGAGATATTAAAACAATGCTGACAAACTCATTAACGGGAGACATTAAACGGGGACGGGGGTTGATTAATCCGCTTTAACGATTATTTTTAAGTGGTTCTGGTTTAAAATTCATACAGATTTACTGGCGGAGCTAATTCTAACTGAAGGCAAAACAGTAACACTGGGTGAAGGGTAGGGTGAAAGACTGCGGCTGTGTCCCCTCCTGTCCTTCACTCTCTCTCAGCTGAACTTGAAAGGCTCAAAGGGGAACAAACCAAAAGGATTCCCAAAACCGTCACAACGCTTTTTTGTTTGTGGTTCAGACTTTTGTGATGATCATTAAAAATAGGCCTATTATCCGGCCGCGACCGGGAGACCCATGAGGCAACGCGCAATTGGCCTAAAAAAAAAAAACATAGGCCTATTATAAAGAAATTCAGGCACAGGGGCACATGAGGTTTTACTCTGCCCAAAATCTGTCCATGAAAATAAGCCCACGAAGTGAGGAACTTTTATATGGAGGTCAATGCGAGTGTCGAATTTAGTCAACAAAAAATGTATTGCTAATTTGCTATGTGAGGCTTATTTGATTTAACAAAAATGTCGTAATGGTTAAGTTGTTATGAATAATATAATGCACTGATATAAGCATTCCAGCAACTATGAAAAAAACTGCGTTATATCGGAGTTGTGCCTGTTGTTATAGATTGAGGACTCATCATGGATATGGACATTGTCAGAGGCCTTACACCATTTTAAAGTAGTCAACTGGATGGGGATTGCTATGAGTTGGGCGCAATCAGCCAAACAAGAGGAAGACAACTGACTGCTTTAAAATGGATATAGCCACAATGGCGCTGTCTTTTATTTTATTGCAAATGTTTCTTACTTTTTTAACTCTGCATTGTTGGGAAAGGGCTCGTAAGTAAGCATTTCAAGGTAATGTCTACACCTGTTGACAAAATTGTATTTGATGCCGTCACAGACGCTATAGAGGCACAAATACAAAGACGAGTCCTCTGTCTATCTCTATGGTCTGTTGTTCACGCGAATCTGCCCTCTCATTGGCTAGAATGGTCCCACGTGATCGCGCCTTCCAGCTTTGAGGACATATTTCCATTGTTAGAGCGGTCACATGAATATCTTGTCAATATAATAGACAATCTTTGGTTGGACTACTGAAATCTGGCTGTGGAATATGAGGCTTGTATATTTATGTAGAAATGTCACCCTCTTGTGGAATGGAAAAATAACAATTTGGACGATCCGGAAATGATGTATGTACTACATGCGTCATGCCAACCAATCAGCGTTTACGTTTCCTTCCACAACCAGTTAGCTTTGTAGCTAAAGGGTACGGAACCCGAAAACCCACACGAACAACGCATTTCATTTAATTTGTTAGTATTTATTGATACATCAAACGACATCAATAATCAACGTTTGTTTACGGATAACACGCGTGGTAACGTACCTCTATCGAGGACAGCGTAGCTTTAATTTGTGTTTTTCACTGCACCAGCTTTATGTGAAGACAAAGGCCTACACACTGCTCGCTGCTTCCAAACATGTATCCCTCTTGGGGTAGTAACTATGGTGGTGGCGGCGGCGGCCATCAACCACCTTCGCAGCAGCACTTCGGTGCGCCGAGGGGTCAGTCTCCTCAAGGCGAAGGCTTCGGGGGAGGATTCGGGGGCTATGGGGCTGCTACAACCGCAGCTGCACCCGGGTCAACTTTCAACAGCCTGCGGGAGCAGCATCTCCAGCAAATGCAGCAGCTGCAACAGCTCCACCAAAAACAGCTCCAATCCGTGCTGCACCACGACAGGGACGTAAATGCAAACCCCTATGGCGGCGGTGGTCCTGCGGCCGAGTCGTGGCAAGGCAGCTCGGGATATGGGTATGGTTCAACGGGGCCCGGTACCCCTTCCCCATATCAAGATGAGTATCAGTCCATACAAGGGCCTTCCCCTTACCAAGATGAGTATCAGTCCATGCAAGGCCCTTCCCCTTATCAAGATGAGTATCAGTCCATGGAAGCCGGTGCGCCCAGCCCACAACTTCAGCCGCCGCTGCTGCCACCGCAGCCCAAAGAGGCCCAGCCTCCCCCACCGGAGGCGAACCCACCCCCATCAGAGGCGAACCCACAGGTACCCACTCAGAACAATGGTACACCAGCGACTAAAGAGGTAAACAAGAATCAATCTTTGGCCCCGAAAGACCAGGCAAATTCCTCCGTGCCGGAGGAGGAAAAGGCCGATTTTACGTCAATTTCGTTGCAGGTAATATCGTGAATGTGTATTTAGCATTGGAAGTGCTCGTCCCCCCCCCAGTTGAAAGGAGTAGGCCTCGATTCCACAGCGCATGCAAATGCAACGTACTTCTGCTGCGTTCAAGACAACTCGGAAATTTCCGAGTTGGAAAGTCGTTGTAGAAAGATCAGGGAGAACGACTGCCACCCTCTCATTGAAGAAACGGAAGTTCAAGTGCGACAGCGGTACTACAGGCATTGATAACAGAAAACAGGATCCCCATTATATTGAATAGAAAAATGGCGATCTTCGTGTAAAAACATAAATATATATATATATATACATGTTTCGAAGACAATCATGGTACCAATACTTGTTTCTAATACACCAGATGTATGTCCTTGAACCGATTATTGTAAAATTGCAGACAAAATAAGTTGTAAAATCTAGTTGATAATGGCAGTCTGCAGTACCCCGTCGGCCTTTTAACCTGAGTTATTCAATGAGAGGGGACATTAGTGAGCTAGCCTGCAACGTCACTTCCCTGGAGTAACTCAAACTGGGCATGTTATGTCTCCATTAGTGCTGAGCAATTAACCAAAATGTCGGTTATTTTTCGGTTTAAACAACTCATTAACCAACTTCGGTTCAATGATTTTAATTCCATTTTGTTCGGGTTTTTTCGGTGAGCTCAATAAGGATCCAGCCTGTGCTGTGCGATGTAGTAGGGAGTTGTAGTTTCCAACAAGCCAATATTCTACATAGTTTATTGCATAAAACGTGGTAATTAACTACAATGACGATAATCCATTGCACATCTACTTGTCTGGTCTGTGTTGCTTTTATGCAGAGACAAGAATGTGCGATCTTGAGGGGATATAGAAAGCAGCTGTTGCTTCGCCAGGGAGCTCTACCTGAAAATACATGATCAGTGATTGATTGTTGGCGTTCAGCAGTCATAAAAGTATGCCTTATTTACTTTGAAGAACTACTAAAATAGTGTTTTTTTGTCAGACAGCATAGGCAACAGCTCTATAGAGATGAGACGATGACATGGAATGAAATAGTCATCAAAATGAAACAAATGTAATATACACAACTGAAATATTTTATTAAAGTAATTTGAATAACTTATTGTTAATAAGTGATCAGCAGTATTGGGTAGTCACTACCATCATTCATTAATTGATTTATTCTTTATTACAGTATTCAACCCAAATAATCGAAATCTATATGTAAAAAAAATAATAATTTATAAACGAAACCGAACCGACTTCAAAAAGCACTGCTCACTCAGCACTAGTCTCCATGAGATGCCATCTTAAAGCTGCAATATGTCACTTTTTGGGCAACCTGACCAAATTCACATAGAAATGTGAGTTATAGATCTGTCATTCTCATTGAAACCAAGTCTAAGAAGCGATAGATCTGTTCTATGTGCGCTATTTCTATGCTACCCGTGCTTAAGTTTTTGCATCTTTTACTTATGGTTTAAAACAGCTGAAAATACAGTATTTTTTTGTAATGGAAAATATATTTCACAGCAGTTTAGATGGTACAATGATTTTTTACACTATACTTGCTTCTTTTGTCACATAAACTGAAATTAGGCGAAATACTAGCATTTTTTGCAACCAGGAGATGGTGGAGCGATTTCTGCATAGTGCATCTTTAACCGACTTCATTTTGCTTCAATACACTATTGAGTCTTCTCATAGGAATGAATGGTGTCACGTGATCGATGGCTTTGTCCATTCATATATACAGTCATTGTTGGAAAGTATCAGAATCAACCAATAGGAAGCTCTACTCAAAAAAAACATATGCACATTTTGTCTTTGAGTTTCGGAGTTGTCTTGAATGCACTGAAAATCTCAGAAATGCAAAGTATATGATTTGCATTTACTCATTGCATCAGGGCTACAGGGACGACAGATGAAAAATTAGATATCTAACTAAATCTGGTGCAATGGCGTGTTGGACATGGTCCCTGACAAATAAACGAAAAAAGAAAAGTCATTGTTTTTGCATGCTATTGTCATAGCCTGGTCCCAGATCTGTTTTATGCCTGTATAGCAAACATCTATGATTTGGTCAGTAGGGCTGACCCCATTTAGTTGATTGTTTGTTCGATAGGCTGTTGGTCGACCGATTTCTTTAGTCGAGCAGTAGCAAAAACACTATATCATGGTGGGGAAGCACCTGTCTGATTGGCTCCTGTCTTGAGTGGACTGATCCATTGTGGAGGCCGTGGGGGTCACCTGTCTGATTTGGCGCCTGTCTTGAGTGGACTGATCCATTGTGGAGGCCGTGGGGGTCACCTGTCTGATTGGCTCCTGTCTTGAGTGGACTGATCCATTGTGGAGGCCGTGGGGGTCACCTGTCTGATTTGGCGCCTGTCTTGAGTGGACTGATCCATTGTGGAGGCCGTGGGGACGCCTGTCTGATTTGGCGCCTGTCTTGAGTGGACTGATCCATTGTGGAGGCCGTGGGGACGCCTGTCTGATTTGGCGCCTGTCTTGAGTGGACTGATCCATTGTGGAGGCCGTGGGGATGGCACAGTCCATCACTCTTAAGACGTAATACTGAAATTGTGTACGGTTACGTTACGTAAGAACAATGGCGCGCTGTTGAATTGGCGCCTTTTCCTAGACCATGTTGCTATGTGCATAATAGCAAAAGTTAAACCGGCGTATTGGTGTTGAGAACAATGCGGCGGAGGCAGCAGCGGAATGAGGAGATGAGAAAACAGCCCTTGCCTTATTGTCTAAGTGAGGAGAGGGGAAACCCCAACTTAATTAGGTCTATAATCAACAGCCTAACTGTTAAATGGGCCTGGCTTTATAAATCATGAATAGATCTACAGAAATAAGACAGATCTTGCCTGTTGGATCTAACTGTAAGTCGCTCTGGATAAGAGCGTCTGCTAAATTGCTAAAATGTAATTTAAATGTAAAGAGAGCAAGGGTTGAGGGAAATAGGGAATGTTTTTCCTAAACAAATTAGGGATTTCGGTAACAGAACTTTTCAGTCAGAAATGGCTGTTATTACGTTGCCAGATTCAGCAACACGGACAGCGCGATAAACACTGATGTTCTGTGGCGGTTGCTGCAGCAGGGAGGAGAGCGGGACAAACAACGCTCACTCGCTGTCTGAGCCCTGGCGGCACAATCAAATCAATTACTGTGTCTTAATTATTTAATCAATGTGCTTAAAGCATCAGACAAGCTCAGTGAATATAGTTGATTTGATTAAAACACACCGGATGTGTCCTATATGGAAAAAATACACGTTAAAAAATTTAGACCAATCGATTGGTTGAAAGAAATGATGACTATTGGTTGACTAAGATTTTGTTGTTGGTGACAGCCCTAGGTCGATGACCATAGGAGTTGGCAAAACGGCATAAAGATCTATCTGGTGTTGTGATGAGACTCATAAAGATTCTGTCTGGGGCCAGGCTGGTTTCTCATAGTGTTGTGGTGAGAATCATCTACCTGCACAAGCTGTCATCACGTCATGTCTCAGAGAAGGGCTGTGTAACTATAGCAACATGCTAACCTGAATGTCTGGGATTGTCATGTTGATATTATGTTTGCTGTTGTCATCCAGGAACAGCAGCAGTACTGGTACAAGCAGCATCTCCAGAACCTGCAGAGGCTGAAAGCAGAGAAGGCTAAACAGGGCCAGGGTGATGGCCCAACACCCCCGCCTCCCAAACCCCAGCCCCTCTCGGCAGCCGCCCCTCCCCCTCCATCGGAACCCCCCAAGAGCGCCCCTCCACCGCCCCCACCCAAAGAGGAGCCACCACCGCCACCTCCACCTGACGGTGAAAGGGTAAGGAGAAACACGTCTGAGATACACTGAGGTTAGTGTTGTAGGTGAGCATGTGGGTCTGTCATAGACGTAGTAGAATGTACAGGATCTTCCCCATGAGAATGAGACGTTTTTTTCAAACGTATTCATTCCTTTGCAATATCGTCAGAACGTACTCCGATGATGTGCTGTAACAATTCAGTGATATGGTAGGTATTCACGTATCAGTTCCCCAATGTCATTGGGGGGGAAAAAGACAAGTAAATTAATAGGTTGGGTGAACTTTCCTAAACGATACACACCTCAGTCCTTGGAGAGCAGTGTGGAGACAGAAAGATGTGACCTGTTAAAGACGTGCGCTCTGTGGAAGATCTTCCAGCTTGAGGACTTTGCCAATAGGCCAACTCACATATTTAGTTTTGTATTTTAAAGCGTCTTTGAGATTCCTGCTGTGATGAAAAGGGCTATACAAATCTATTATCATCTCTCCCCCTTGCAGCCTGCCCCACCGACCCAGGACCCAATAGAGGCGGCCCGGCTGCAGCAGCTCCAGAGCTCAGCAGCTCAGTGGCAGCAGGCCCAGCAGCAGAGAGCAGGCTACCAGTACCAAGCCCTGATGCAGCATCATGCTCAGCTACAGACCATCCTCAACCAGTACCAGCAGTGTATCCAACAACCTGCAGATCTAGAGGTGTTTTTATGACATTTTTGTTTTTGAGCATTTTTCTATGCACCGAAAATGTTCATGATTCAAGATTTATTTCCCCCCCCCCCCTCCTTGTTTTAGAATATAGCTGAAGTTGTGATCAGTTCTGTACCTATTAAGGTTCTTTTTTAATTATTATAGTAACTAACTTTATTTGCACAGCATCTTGCATGGATAAAATACAGTTTGAGTGATTTGTAGAACATGTTATCCTAGCATGCTCTTTGCTCCTCAGCAAAACGTGTGTCGTCTGTTTGCCGTCGGGGTATTTTGAAGCAAAATTCTAATTTTCTTCGAAAGATGTCCTCTTCTTTATATACGATGCCTACGCCCAAATTTCCACATTGTCTGGACAAAAAATTTTCTAACTCAAATCCCCCCCCCCCCCCGTGTAGACGATGGCTATGGCCATGCAGTTGAGGCACTATGAGATGCAGCAGCAGAAGTTCGGCCCGGTGTTTGCAGACTGGGGCCGGACCTTCAGCTTGTGGCAAGAGCAGTTCCAGTCCTATCCTCATAAGGACCAGCTGCAGGACTATGAGTTACAGTGGAAACAGTGGCAGGAGCAGATGAACTCCACCTCGGCACACCTACAGGTACACTACAGCCAGACGACTGTGTGCCTCCCCTCTCCTGCTGTTCAGTAGGATGTAATGTTACAGGATGTTCAGATAGAAAAGTGTAGTGTAGAACAGGGTTCCCCAACCTGCGGGACGAGTTTGGGCCGCGAGTGATTTTTAATTTGGGCCCCCAAATTTTTTATGAATTAATAAATAACGACGTAAAAAATAAATAAAAAATAACTGTGTGTTTACAGTTGAAGTCGGAAGTTAACATACACTTAGGTTGGAGTCATTAACTCGTTTTTCAACCACTCCACAAATGTCTTGTTAACAAACTATAGTTTGGGCAAGTTGGTTAGGACATCTACTTTGTTCCAACAATTGTTTACAGACAGATTATTTCACTTATAATTCACTGTATCACAATTTCAGTGTGTCAGAAGTTTACATACACTAAGTTGACTGTGCCTTTTAAACAGCTTGGAAAATTCCAGAAAATGATGTCATGGCTTTAGAAGCTTCTGATAGGCTAATTGACATCATTTGAGTCATTTGGAGGTGTACCTGTGGATGTATTTCAAGGCCTACCTTCAAACTCAGTGCCTCGTTGCTTGACATCATGGGAAAATCAAAAGAAATCAGCCAAGACCTCAGAAAAATAATTGTAGACCTCCACAAGTCTGGTTCATCCTTGGGAGCAATTTCCAAACGCCTGAAGGTACCACGTTCATCTGTACAAACAATAGTACGCAAGTATAAACACCATGGGACCACGCAGCTGTCATACCGCTCAGGAAGGAGACGTGATCTGTCTCCTAGAGATGAACATACTTTGGTGCGAAAAGTGCAAATCAATCCCAGAACAACAGCAAAGGACCTTGTGAAGATGCTGGAGGAAACTTGTACAAAAGTATCTATATCCACAGTAAAACTAGTCCTATATCGACATAACCTGAAAGGCCGCTCAGCAAGGAAGAAGCTACTGCTCCAAAACCGCCATAAAAAAAGTCAGACTACGGTTTGCAAAAGCACATGGGGACAAAGATAGTACTTTTTGGAGAAATGTCCTCTGGTCTGATGAAAGAAAAAATAGAACTGTTTGGCCATAATGACCATCGTTATGTTTGGAGGAAAAAGGGGGATGCTTGCAAGGCGAAGAACACCATCCCAACCATGAAGCACAGGGGTGGCAGCATCATGCTGTGGGGGTGCTTTGCTGCATGAGGGACCTGTGCACTTCACAAAATAGATGGCATCATGAGGATGGAAAATTATGTGGATATATTGAAGCAACATCTCAAGACATCAGTCAGGAAGTTGAAGCTTGGTCGCAAATGGTCTTCCAAATGGACAATGACCCCGAGCATACTTCCATAGTTGTGGCAAAATGGCTTAAGGACAACAAAGTCAAGGTATTGGAGTGGCCATCACAAAGCCCTGACCTCAATCCTATAGAAAATTTGTGGGCAGAACTGAAAAAACGCATGTGAGCAAGGACGCCTACAAACCTAACTCAGTTACACCAGCTCTGTCAGGAGGAATGGGCCAAAATTCACCCAACTTATTGTGGGAAGCTTGTGGAAGGCTACCCAAAACGTTTGACCCAAGTTAAACAATTTTAAGGCAATGCTACCAAATACTAATTGAGTGTATGTAAACTTCTGACCCACTGGGAATATGATGAAAGAAATAAAAGCTGAAAGAAATCATTCTCTCTACTATTATTCTGACATTTCACATTCTTAAAATAAAGTGGTGATCCTAACTGATCTAAGACAGGGAATTTTTACTTGGACTAAATGTCAGGAATTGTGAAAAACTGAGTTTAAATGTATTTGGCTAAGGTGTATGTAGACTTACGACTTCAACTGTGTGTATATGTATATGTGTATATACACACACACACACACACACAGTGGGGAGAACAAGTATTTGATACACTGCCGATTTTGCAGGTTTTCCTACTTACAAAGCATGTAGAGGTCTGTAATTTTTATCATAGGTACTCTTCAACTGTGAGAGACGGAATCTAAAACAAAAATCCAGAAAATCACATTGTATGATTTTTAAGTAATTAATTTACATTTTATTTATTTATTTATTATTGGACATAAAAGACCAGCAAATCAGCTCCAATTGATTTAATTTTGGAAATCTGTTTCCGAAGTATTAACCACGCATAAAAATGGAATATATGTGATTGTATGCAAATGTGAGCAAGGTTAGAAGCAATGTTTATGTTTTAGTCATCTGTTTTGGCTTCTTGCGGTCAGTTTGCGGTCCTAAATGATTTGTCATTATGTTCCGGCCTCCTGACCAGCCGCTCAAGAAACAGTTTGCCTGCAGCTGAATCTAGTTGATCCCTGGTGAAGAAGACTCCTATGCAATAGGGAGTAGTGTTAGCTCTAGTCATTGCGTTTCTATCTGTAACGTTCTGAATGTTTCACGTTGCTGAATACACCCTAGCCAGCCTTAATGTAAAATGTGATTGATTGATTGATTGATTTGCAGGAGAGGGTCACCACCCTGCGAGCCATGCAGCACCAGTATGGAGGCAGCAGCAGCAGCGGTCAATATGGCAGTACTGGCGCTGACCAGTACAGTAGTAGGGTCCAATATGGTAGTGGAGGGTACGGGGACCAGTACAACCAATATGGTCAGTACCCCCACTCTGGCCCAGACTCACAGATTCAACAAGGCCACATGGTGAGCCCGTCCCAGCCAGGTAGCCAGCCCTCGTCCACCCCTGGACCCATGTCCCAGGGCCCTCGACCAGGGCAGCACGGCCCCTCCGACGCCCAACGCATGGGAACCCCCACAGGAGAACCACACCAGGGGCCTCGACCAGGGCAGCACGGCCCCTCCGACGCCCAACGCATGGGAACCCCCACAGGAGAACCACACCAGGGGCCTCGACCAGGGCAGCATGGCCCCTCCAACGCCCAACGCATGGGAACCCCCACAGGAGAACCACACCAGGGCCCTCGACCAGGGCAGCACGGCCCCTCCGACGCACAACGCATGGGAACCCCCACAGGAGAACCACACCAGGGGCCTCGACCAGGGCAGCACGGCCCCTCCGACGCCCAACGCATGGGAACCCCCACAGGAGAACCACACCAGGGGCCTCGACCAGGGCAGCATGGCCCCTCCAACGCCCAACGCATGGGAACCCCCACAGGAGAACCACACCAGGGGCCTCGACCAGGGCAGCACGGCCCCTCCGACGCCCAACGCATGGGAACCCCCACAGGAGATCCACACCAGGGGCCTCGACCAGGGCAGCATGGCCCCTCCAACGCCCAACGCATGGGAACCCCCACAGGAGAACCACACCAGGGGCCTCGACCAGGGCAGCACGGTCACTCCAACGCCCAACGCATGGGAACCCCCACAGGAGAACCACACCAGGGGCCTCAGGCAGAGCAGTACAACCTGTCTGGACCCCCTGGTAGAGGGGCAGGCCCAGGAGGGAGAGGGGCAGGCAGACCACCAGGTCCACCTGGAGGTCAGCCTCCACCCTACCAAGGTCCCAGAGGACCAAGGTAACTTGTGTATTCATGACATAATGATATTCAGACGGTGTTATTTTGTTTCACTGGAGGGCTACCCTCTTGACCAGGTCTCCCTTTGGGAGAGATTTTGTTTGTACCTGAACGTGACAACTTGGATTAAAATAGGTTAAATAAAACATTGCAATTTCCATTTTCAGGCTGTTCAGACATTCATGTGCTTTCTTTCCACCCAGGTTTGATGGTCCGAGAGGGAATGGCCCGCGGTTTGACCAGCAGCAGTCCAGTCAACAGCAGAGGTTCAACGCTCCACCAGGTCCCTGGTTTGACCAGCAGCACCCGAGGTTCAATCAGCTTGGCCCCAGAGGACCAGGGCCTCGGTTCGGGCAGCAGGGTCCCCAGTTCGACCAGCCCCCGAGACAGAGCCCCCCAGCCCACTTTGAAAGACCACTTGGTCCCTCAGCACCCCAGATAGGCCCACAGCCTAAACCAGACACTGGCAAAGACACCAAATTATCACAGGGTAAGACTGAGACGCCAGCGGGCTCCAAGCCTCCTGGTATTAAATCTACTGGGCCAGCTAAACCAGGAGCAGACGGTACAACTAAGCCAGGTGACTTGGCAGAACCAGAGGATATGTCAGAAGACATGATGGAGACCCCTGAGGGCTTCTTTGTCCAAAACGACCCCATCCCTCAGACGAAAGCAGAGGCTGCTGCTGCTGCTAGTAAGGACTCCGCTGCCAACAAGGAAGAGGTGAGCCCCCCTGCTGCTGCCGGTGCCAAGCCCCCCGTGTCCACCACCACTTCTGTATCCCCGAAAACCGCTTCCCCTGCCAAGACCGCTCTCAAACCAGGTGGACCGGCCGGGCCGTTGAAGAACAACGTCAATAACAACAACGGGCCTCGGGGACCACAGGGGCCGAAGCCCCACGGACCACAGCCGCCGAAGACCGACCCAATGAACGACCAACCCCCTGGTCTTCTGGGGCCCATGGTGCGTGGTAGAGGGGGGTGTGGCCAGCCGCTAGGGCCTGTCAGAGGACGAGGGGAAGCGGATGGAGGGATGCTGGGAGGTAGAGGACGAGGGGAGGCAGGTGGAGGGATGCTGGGAGGTAGAGGACGAGGGGAAGCAGGTGGAGGGATGCTGGGAGGTAGAGGACGAGGGGAGGCAGGTGGAGGGATGTTGGGAGGTAGAGGACGAGGGGAGACAGGTGGAGGGATGCTGGGAGGTAGAGGACGAGGGGAAGAGGATGGAGGGATGCTGGGAGGTAGAGGACGAGGGGAGGCAGGTGGAGGGATGCTGGGAGGTAGAGGACGAGGGGAAGCAGGTGGAGGGATGCTGGGAGGTAGAGGACGAGGGGAGGCAGGTGGAGGGATGCTGGGAGGTAGAGGACGAGGGGAGGCAGGTGGAGGGATGTTGGGAGGTAGAGGACGAGGGGAGACAGGTGGAGGGATGCTGGGAGGTAGAGGACGAGGGGAAGTGGGTGGAGGGATGCTGGGAGGTGGAGGGATGCTGGGAGGTAGAGGACGAGGGGAAGCGGGTGGAGGGATGCTGGGAGGTAGAGGACGAGGGGAAGTGGGTGGAGGGATGAGGGGGCGAGGTGGTTTGAGGGGACGTGGAGGAAAACAGCCCGGTATCCCAGACTTCAGTCCCAATACTATCCCTCTGGGAGGTGGGAGGACGGAGGACGACATGGAGGGGGTTCCTTATGACTACAGACCTCCACATGAAGAGATGAGATCACAACATGGACGACAGGAGGAAGACTGGCAGGAGTGGCAACAGGACCCTCCACTGGAGAAACCTGGAGGGCCTACCCTGCCTGAAGAGGAGATGTGGGTCCCTGAAGAGCACCACTACCCTCCAGAGGACTACTACGAAGACCCAGGGAGAGGAGGTCCCCCTATGGGGAGAGGAGAGCCTCTAGACGGGCATCACTGGGAGGAAGCAGACCCCCAACCTCCAGAGTACTGGGGAGAGGAAGGAGATCCATACTGGATGGACCAGAGGCCCCCTCCTCATGGCATGAGAGGAGGCCCCAGAGCCCCCTTCCCTCCTGGGCGTGGTCGCCCCCCACGGGGCAGGCCCGGCTTCATGCACCATTGGGGTCCCAGACGCCCTCTTCCTCACGGAGCCATGGACCCCCATGACCCTCTAGGGTCCCCCATGGGGCCTGACGATGACATGGACCCTCTGGGACCCCCGCTGCATCGGGACTACGACACCCGCAGGCCGCCCATGCACCACGATATGATGGAGAGAGACATGAGGGGGCGGCCGCCTCCACCTAGGGAGATGATGGGGCCTGGTGGTCATCCTCCATACCACGACATGGAGAGGGACCCTGGCTGGCCCCCAGGCCCTGGACGACCCCCCCACCTCGGCAGAGATGGGCCAAGAGGTCCCCCTCCGCCTCCCCATGAGATGATGGAGCGGGGAGGGATGAGGAGGCGTCCGATGGGCCCTCGGGGCACTCCAATGGGCATGAGCCGGGGCATGATGCGGCAACCACCTCACCCACTCGAGGACTTGGAGGGGTACCCCCATGAGGGGTATGGGGAGGAGTTTGGTGGTCCCAGTGATGATGGGTATGGAAGACCGCTGCCGCCACGTGACTGGCCGGACCACCCCACACATGAGTACGACTGTGAGGAGGAGTATTATCCCCATGAGCCGCCTCCTCGTGTTGGGGAGTGGGACAGGGAGAGAGGAGGACCACTATCAGAGAGGGACTATTCTCCCTACCCTCCCCGCGGCCCTCCACCTCCCCCAGACCGCTTCCGAGAGGACGAGTGGGCCGATGAGAGAGACGGAGACCGTCCTCCATACCCCTACGAGGGAGACGAGCGTGGTAGAGGAGGAGAGCTCCGAAGTCGTGACTACCTGGACGACCCTTCATACAGGCACAATGAACCCCCCTACCCGCCCCCTGCAGAGTGGGAGAGACCCAGACCACCCCTTCCAGAGAGAAACTACCCCCCAGACTTTGAGGACCGTAGGCCCCATTACGATGGGCGACCCGAGCCCCTTAGATCAGATCTAGGTATCCCTCCACTCCCACCTTCCCAGGCCCCTGCTCCCAGTACTGGACCAGACGGCTCTCAGGAACCAGCCTCACAGGGAACTGGACCGGGCATACTGGCGCTGTCACAACGACAACATGAGATCATCCTGAAAGCTGCCCAAGAGCTGAAGCTCATCAGGTAAATTATAGAGACGCTGCTTTTCCCCCTAAAATAGAAACTGTCTTTGGATATATATATATATATATATATATATATATATATATATATATATAGTGGCCATACAAAAGTTTGGCCTCACTTAGAAATAGTACCCGCAAAACACCAGTCTCAACGTCAACAGTGAAGAGGCGACTCCGGGATGCTGACCTTCTAGGCAGAGTTGCAAAGAAAAAGCAATTTCTCAAACTTAATCTTTTATTTTTATTGACCAGTCTGAGATATGGCTTTTTTCTTTGCAACTCTGCCTAGAAGGTCAGCATCCCGGAGTCGCCTCGTCACTGTTGACGTGGAGACTGGTGTTTTGCGGGTACTGTTTAATGAAGCTGCCAGTTGAGGACCTGTGAGGCGCCTATTTCTCAAACTAGACACTCTAATGTATTTGTCCTCTTGCTCAGTTGTGCACCGGGGCCTCCCACTCCTCTTTCTATTCTGGTTAGAGCCAGTTTGCGCTGTTCTGTGAAGGGAGTAGTACACAGCGTTGTACGAGATCTTCAGTTTCTTGGCAATTTCTCGCAAGGAATTGCCTTCATTTCTCAGAACAAGAATAGACTGACGAATTTCAGAAGAAAGTTATTTGTTTCTGGCCATTTTGAGCCTGTAATTGAACCCACAATTGCTGATGCTCCAGATACTCAACTAGTCTCAAGAAGGCCAGTTTTATTGCTTCTTTAATCAGCACAACAGTTTTCAGCTGTGATAACATAATTGCAAAAGGGTTTTCTAATGATCAATTAGCCTTTTAAAATGATAAACTTGGATTAGCAAACACAACGTGCCATTGGAACACAGGACTGATGGTTGCTGATAATGGGCCTCTGTACGCCTATGTAGATATTCCATAAAAAATCTGCAGTTTCCAGCTACAATAGCCATTTACAACATTAACAATGTCTACACTGTATTTCTGAACAATTTGATGTTATTTTAATGGACAGAAAATGTGCTTTTCTTTTGAAAACAAGGACATTTCTAAGTGACCCCCAACTTTTGAACAGTAATGTGTGTGTGTGTGTGTGTGTGTGTGTGTGTGTGTGTGTGTGTGTGTATATATATATATACACACACACACACACACACACACACAGCTCTGGAAAAAATTAAGAGACCACTGCAAATCTTTCTTAAATCAGCATCTCTACATGTACGACAGCCATTCCATTCCAACACAGGCACACCTCATTCTACTGAATTAGGTACTGACTAGGTGATCACCTGAACCAAATCTTATTTAATGAGGAAAAGTATAAAAACCACTGCTGTGGTCATCACTATCCTCTTGCAATAGGACCAGCGAGATGGCAAAAACAGTGCTATTAGTACCTCAAAAGTAATATTAATCAAACAATAACTATTGACCATGCCAAAAGAGTTGAAAAGGAAAGTTTTGAGTGAGGAAAAGAAGGGTTCAATTCTGGCTTTACTGGCAGAGGGATACAGTGAGCATCAGGTTGCTTCCATCCTTAAAATTTCAAAGACGGCGGTTCATAAGAACAAGGTCAAGCAGCAGACATTGGGGACAACAAAGCTACAGACCGGCAGAGGGCGAAAACGACTCTCTACTGACCGGGATGACCGCCAACACATTCGAATGTCACTCAACAACCGTAGGTTGACATCAAGTGACCTACAAAAAGAATGGCAAACGGCAGCTGGGGTGAAGTGCATGGCGAGGACGGCTCGAAACAGGCTCCTAGGGGCAGGGCTGAAGTCGTGCAAAGCTAGAAAAAAGCCCTTCATCAATGAGAAGCAAAGAAGAGCCAGGCTGAGGTTTGCAAAAGACCATAAGGATTGGACCGTAGAGGACTGGAGTAAGGTCATCTTCTCTGATGAGTCAAATGTTCTGCTTTGTCCAACACCTGGTCGTCTAATGGTTAGACGGAGACCTGGAGAGGCCTTCAAGCCACAGTGTCTCGCACCCACTGTGGAATTTGGTGGAGGATCGGTGATGATCTGGGGGTCCTTCAGCAAGGCTGGAGTCTGGCAGATTTGTCTTTGTGATGGACGCATGAATCAAGCCACGTACAAGGTTGTCCTGGAAGAAAACGTGCTTCCTTTTGCTCTGACATTGTTCCCCAACTCTGAGGATTGTTTTTTCCAGCAGGACAATGCGCCATGCCACACAGCCAGGTCAATCAAGGTGTGAATGGAGGACCACCAGATCAAGACCCCTGTCATGGCCAGCCCAATCTCCAGACCTGAACCCCATTGAAAACTTCTGGAATGTGATCAAGAGGAAGATGGATGGTCACAAGCCATAAAAAAAAGCCGAGCTGCTTGAATTTTTGCGCCAGGAGTGGCATAAAGTCACCCAACATCAATGTGAAAGACTCTCCTGAGTGGCGCAGTGGTCTAAGGCACTGCATCGCTGTGCCACTAGAGATACTGGTTCGAATCCAGGCTCTGTCGCAGCCGGCCGCCACCGGGAGACTCGTGGGCGGCGCACAATTGGCCCAGCGTCGTCCAGGGTAGGGGAGGGAATGGCCGGCAGGGATGTAGCTCAGTTGATAGAGCATGGCGTTTGCAATGCCAGGGTTGTGGGTTCGATTCCCACGGGGGGCCAGTATGGGAAAAATAAAATATGTGTATTCACTAACTGTAAATCACTCTGGATTAGAGCGTCTGCTAAATGACTAAAATGTCAAAATGTAATGTAAATGGTGGGGAGCATGCCAAGACGCATGAAAGCTGTGATTGAAAATCAGGGTTATTCCACCAAATATTGATTTCTGAACTCTTCCTAAGTTAAAACATTAGTATTGTGTTGTTTAAAAATATATATATTTTCTTTGCATTATTCGAGGTCTAACAACACTTATTTTTTGTTATTTTGACCAGTTTTCATTTTCTGCAAATAAATGCCCTAAATGACAATATTTTTATTTGAAATTTGGGAGAAATGTTGTCAGTAGTTCATAGATTAAAATAAAAATGTTAATTTCGCCCAAACACATACAGTGAGGGAAATAAATAATAAAAAATAAATAAATAGTAAAACCTGAGAAACTTATATTTTTGCAGTGGTCTCTTTATTTTTTTTCCAGAGCTGTAGTAACGGTCAAAAGTTTGGGACACACATTTTACATTTTAGCAGACGCTCTTATCCAGAGCCACTTAGTTAGTGAGTGGATACATTTTCATACTGCCCCCCCCCCCCGTGGGAAACGAACCCACAACCCTGGCGTTGCAAGCGCCATGCTCTACCAACTGAGCTACAGGGGACACACTTTCTCGTTCAAGGGTTTGTCTTAATTTTGTTACTATTTTCTACATTGTAGAATAATAGTGAAGACATCAAAACTATGAAATAACACATATGGAATCATGTAGTAACCATAAAAGTGTTAAACAAATGAGATTCTTCAAAGTAGCCACCCTTTGCCTTGATGACAGCTTTGCACACTCTTGGCATTCTCTCAACCAGATTCATGAGGAAGTTTTTTTGGGGGTATCTGTACTGTACTTTACTATTTATATTTTGGGCAACTTTTACTTTTACTTCACTACATTCATAAAGAAAATAATGTACTTTTTACTCCATACAATTTCCCTGACACCCAAAAGTACTCGTTACATTTTGTATGCTTAGCAGGACAGGAAAATGGTCTAATTCACGCACTTAAAGAGAACATCCCTACTGCATCTGATCTGGCGGACTCACTAAACACAAATGCTTTGTTTGTAAATTATGTCCGAGTGTTGGAGTGTGCCCCTGGCTATCTGTAAATTTTTAAAAATCAAGAAAATCATGCCGTCTGGTTTGCTTAATATAAGGAATTTCAAATGATTTATACTTTTACATTTGATACTTAAGTATATTTTAGGAATTACATTTACTTTTGATACTTAAGTATATTTAAAACAATACTTTTTGACTTTTACTCATGTAGGATTTTACTGGGTGACTTTTACTTGAGTCATTTTCTATTAAGGTATCTTTACTTTTACTCAAGTATGACAATTGGATAATTTTACACCACTGCCTGCTACCATACCCTGTTCAAAGGCACTTCAATATTTTGTCTTGCCCATTCACCCTCTGAATGGCACACATACACAATCCATGTCTCAATTGTCTCAAGGCTTAAAACATTTTTTAAAACCTATCTCCTCCCCTTCATCCACACTGATTTGAAGTGGATTTAACAAGTGACATCAATAAGGGATCATAGCTTTCACCTGGATTCACCTGGTCAATCTATGTAGGTGTGTGTGTGTGTGTGTGTGTATATATATATATATATATATATATATATATATATATATATATATATATATATATATATATATATATATATATATATATATATATATATATATATATATATATTATTTTTTTATTCATAAAAGTTTTTTTTCACAACAGTTTTTGTGAGAGACCTCTGTACTTAGCCTGGGTACTAGTCTATTTGTGCTATAATTCCACTCCTTGTCATGCCATGTTTGGCATATGTGCAGAGTACAAGGTGTGGAATGTTAGCACAAAATAGGTTATGGATTCCAGGCTACATGTATGCATATTAGCAAATTTATCACATGTCACTTCTAATACAATGTAGGTCTGTTTCTCTGGTACTGAACAGAGAAATGCAGGAGAGTAAGACTGAGGGAGAGGCCCTACCCGTCATGTCTGACCCCAGGACGGAGCTCCCTGCTGGGCTACTGGGATTGGAGATCCCCCCTGAGGTCCGCAGTGCCCTCCAGGTAGGCTAAACTACAACTCTTTGAAATGGACAATGGTTGTATCCAAAATAGCACCCTATTCTCTATGTAGTGCACTTCTTTTGACTAGGGTTCCTAGGGCCTATATTATATATATATATATATATATATATATATCTGACATATATTATAATAATAATAATATGCCATTTAGCAGACGCTTTTATCCAAAGCGACTTACGGTCATGTGTGCATACATTTTTGTGTATGGGTGGTCCCGGGGATCGAACCCACTACCCTGGCGTTACAAGCGCCGTGCTCTACCAATTGAGCTACAGAGGACCACATTTAAGTGTTTGACATTACATGTATAATGTAGCCACAGGTCAAATTAGAAACGTTTGTTTCCAAGCTGTATTTTCAAGTAACTATTATATTTTAAATTCTCACAGTTGCTTGTCATAGTCCAACAATATATTTGAAGAAGACTACTTTCATTATTTTCTATTGTCCATTTTGGGCAGTTACCAAATATAAATATTTCCCCTAATTGTTTTATTCTCCACCCCAGGCGACCAACCTTATGTCAAGCTCAGTGACATGGGGAGACCCCAAACTTCCAGATTCTGGTTACTTGTCCTCTGCTCCTCCAGTCCCCAAACCACCAGTCATCCCCAAGACTGTCGACTATGGACATGGACATGGACATGGTAGGGGAAAGAAACATGAAATGGAGAGCAGGGTTGGGCTCAATTCCATTTCAATTCCAGTCAATTCAGAAAGTGAACTAAATTCCAGTTCCAATTCCAAAAGTTCCTCATTTTTTTAAAAAGGCAATGAAGAGAATTGGAATTTCAGTGTACTTCCTGAATTGACTGGAATTTTCTATATTTTTCTCTCTTTCAGACCTTGGTGATGCCACGGTGGAGCGGATCTCTTACGGTGAGAGGATTGTGTTGCGGCCCGATCCCTTACCTGACAGAGAGAGGGAGAGGAGCTATGAAAAAGGTGAGTTGATATTTTATTTTTGGATGGTGATCATTTTTGACTTACTAGCGTTTGGTTTTGCAGGTAGCAGCTAATTCTGAACAAGGTTTTTACTTGGTTGTTTGACCTACTTTAATTGAATACACTGTCTATCTGAATAAGGTCCGCTAGATCACTAAAGCGTTACTGTCAACAGTGACATGGGCGGGGTTCATATATATTTCCTGAGCCAGTCCGTAGATCCGTTGGCAGAGCGTGACGCTTGCAACATCAAGGGTCATGGGTGTGCGATTCCCACACTGGGGCCACCAATACGTACAAATGTATGCACACATGACTGTAACTCGCATTGGATAAAATAAAATTAAAAGGTCTGCTAAATGGCTGATGCTATATTATTGTTATTCTAACGATATCCACCTTTCCCCTATAGAACCCCTTGGCCCCCTGAGAGAGAGAGACCCTTACCACAGAGACATGTACTACGACAGACGACCGGTAGACCCCTACACGGAGCGCAGGGAGTACGGCAGGGAGATGTACAGAGAAAAACCTCCCGTGGACTTTGAAAGAGAACGATTTGAGAGGGAACGCTTTCCGCCTCGAGATGACAGGTATACCTGGTTACATTCAGTAGGGGTTGAGCTTAGAAATGGAAGAACTAGATTGATCAGTCAATCAATCAAATATTTTTTTTTTAATAAAGCCCTTTTTTACCTCAGCAGTGCTTTTACAGAATGCTATGTAGAACTACCAAGCCCCTGTACGTGGGTAACATTTCGTTTTTGTGTTCTGTTCTTGCTGCTTCAAGCAAACATTCCATGGGTGTTGATGAAACGTATTATCACACTGTTACTGTGACAGTCCAGCTGGTTACACTGTGACAGTCCAGCTGGTTACACTGTGACAGTCCAGCTGGTTACACTGTGACAGTCCAGCTGGTTACACTGTGACAGTCCAGCTGGTTACACTGTGACAGTCCAGCTGGTTACACTGTGACAGTCCAGCTGGTTACACTGTGACAGTCCAGCTGGTTACACTGTGACAGTCCAGCTGGTTACACTGTGACAGTCCAGCTGGTTACACTGTGACAGTCCAGCTGGTTACACTGTGACAGTCCAGCTGGTTACACTGTGACAGTCCAGCTGGTTACACTGTGACAGTCCAGCTGGTTACACTGTTACTGTGACAGTCCAGCTGGTTACACTGTTACTGTGACAGTCCAGCTGGTTACACTGTGACAGTCCAGCTGGTTACACTGTTACTGTGACAGTCCAGCTGGTTACACTGTGTGTTACTGGGACTAGTCCAGCTGGTTGGTGTGGCCTTGTGAATATTGCTCTAGGCGTAGGAGTGCTGGTCCAGGATCAGGTCCTCCGTGTCCATATAATTGTATTTATTATGATCTGAAAGGGGAAACCGATTCCAAGATCAGCTCCCCCGTTCTAAAAGTCTCTCTGTAAATATGGGTCCAGATATGCAGTGTTCTGATCCTGTCCATCTCTCCAGACCACCCCCCGGCCATCCTCCACCTCGTCCTGGCTACAGGGAGAGGGACTTGAGGGAGGGCAGCCGGACCAGTAGAGATGGAGAGGATCCTTATGGAAGGCCTGGGGGTTATGACAGACCCCCGTACGAGCGCGGGCCTGAGCGCTATGACCATGGTGCTTCACCATACGGTAAGACAGACTTGGTGCAATGCAAAATGTCTCGGTATGTGAGTGGGGTTGATTTGTACTATGCAAAAAAATGTACAGTCCAAAAGAAAAAAAGTGACTAAAGCTACAGAGACTTTGTAAAGTATTCATACCCCTAGACTTAGTCCACATTTTGTTGTTACAGCCTGAATTCAAAATGTACAATAATCTCACCCATCTACACACAATACCCCATAATGATAAAGTGAAAATGTTTTTTTTTTTTTTTTTTATGTTACTAATTTATTGAAAATGAAAAACCGATATCTCATAAGTATTCACATCCCTGAGTCAGTACTTTGTAGAAGCACCTTTGGCAGCGATTACAGTTGAGATTTCTACATCTGGATTATGCAATATTTTCCCATTATTTTCAAAATTCTTCAAGCTCTGTCAAATTGGTTGTTGATCATTGCTAGACAACAATTTTCAGAAAAACTCCCCAGTCAATGTTTTGGAATATTTTTTTATTCTGTACAGGCTTCCTTCTTTTCACTCTGTTAATTAGGTTAGTATTGTGGAGTAACTACAATGTTGTTGATCCATCCTCAGTTTTCTCCCATCACAGCCATTAAACTCTAACAGTTTTAAAGTCACCATTGGCATCCTGGTGAAATCCCTGAGAGGTTTCCTTCCTCTCCTGCAACTGAGTTAGAAAGAACGCCTGTATCTTTGTAGTGACTGGGTGTATTGATACACCATCTAAAGTGTAATTAATAACTTCACCGTGCTCAAAGGGATATTCAATGTCTGCTTTTTATTTCTACCAATCTACCCTTCTTTGCGAGGCATTGGATAACCTCCCTGTTCTTTGTGGTTGAATCTGTGTTTGAAATTCACTGTTCGACCGAGGGACCTTAAAGATATTTGTGTGTGTGGGGTACAGAGATGAGGTAGTCATTCAAAAATCATGTTAAACACTATTATTGCACAGTGGGTTATGTGACTTGTTAACCACATTTTTACTCCTGAACTTATGTAGGCTTGCCATAAAGGGGTTGAATACTTATTGACTCAAGACATTTCAGCTTTTCATTTTTAGTTTATTTGTAAAAAAAAAAAAAAAAAAACTTCAACATTATGAGGTATTGTGTGTAGGCCAGTGACAAAAAAATCTCAATTTAATCCATTTTAAATTCAGGCTGTAACACAACACAATGTGGGAAAAGTCAAGGGGTGTGAATACTTTGTGAAGGCACTGTAAATGCTGAAAACACTTTTGGTTTTAACAATGAAAAATTGTATTTGAGACGGCAACTTCCATCGTCCAATTTTCAGTTGGTCATCTTTTCATGCCTCTTGGTTGTAAAGTGATGTAGCGACACTGACTGTCCTGTCCTGTGGTCCAGGTGAACGGAGGAGTTACCCAGAGGAGAGAGGAGGAGGAGTAGGCCCCACGTCGTCCCACCCTCCTCCTCCCCCACCACCAGCTGCTCCTCCTTCCAGGGTCGAGAAGAAACCAGAGACCAAGAACGTGGAGGACCTTCTCAAACTACCAGGCCGAGACACACGTCCAGAAAGGGTGAAGGAAAAAAAAAAATGGCTTCTCACTCACTTTACACTTCACCACAGATGATCTGTTTTATATTGACCTGATACTGTAGTGGCCACTAATAATGAAAGGACGTCTTCAAACATGGAAGGTAGTCGGGAGGAGGCGAGATCAGGTGGGACCATTCTAGCCAATGAGAGGGAAGATGCACGTTTGAACAACCGGCACAACTCAGATGTCGCGTGTCCTACTTTTATACAAGTACAATCGTAACAACCTAAGCATTACGAGACATCTATTCGATCATGTAGCAAATAAGGCATTACATTTTTTTGTTGTTGACCAGATTCGACACTCATTGACCTCCTGGTGGTGGGGGGGGAAGAACAACAACCGCCACCTGCTGGACAGATTCGGCCCCAGTTATCTCTTCCTCTCGGACTTAATGGGACACACTCTTTTCACGCCATTTCGCCCCGGTGGGCGGTGCTATACGTCACGGGTGGGCGTAGATGTTCATTGTTGAGAACTAGCCGAGCGCTCGCTCATGTCCAGAACGTGGAATCTATTCAACTCTAAGCCATATGGCGCATTTCCACTGAGGATTTACCCCAGTGTTTTACCCAAAAGGCTCAAGACTTTTCTCCGTAGGCCGGCACCCATGTCTCACTGGGCCATGGCTCCGGGCAGACCTGCTCTAACTTGGGGGGCAAGGCCACTCTTGCTTTTTTTGGCGCAGCATTTACATAACAATGGCTAACTGTGAAACATGGGTTTATACCTTTTTTTGATGGTTAACACCTCACAAAGCAACTGTCTTGATGATGCAGAGAGTTGATTCGACGGAAACACAATTTCCCATAACACCAGGGTGTAAAACACTAGTGTAACACTGGTGTTACTGTGGAAAAGCAGAAAAAAGTACAGGATAAGTCTAACTACAGTAATGGAAGGAATGGTTTCATCACGGCAGCAACAAAGATGAAGTGAACAAACGTAATCGCTGAATTCACGTTATGTTTGCTATTTCATGCAACTACAGAATAGAAAGAATCTAAACAAATGATTTTTGTATTCAAATTTCGTTTAAAGTTGAGAGAAATGCCTCGAGGATAATATGGTAAAGTTGGCCTGTCCAAAACAGTTTTTAATAAAGCCAGCAAACTGGTGGATTTATACTTTCTAGTTTAACGTCTGCCAAAGACTTGGGAAATGAACAGGGATGACTGACAGACAGGATGTGGAACGTTAGCTAAAACGACTGGTACCCAGACTACAGTCGGGGGGGAGGGGGGGGGTTCTTGGTTGAACGTGGACGCGCATCGGACAGTCCTGAACCCATAGAGAGAAATAGACTCATCTTTGTATCTGTGTCATTTTATAGCGTCTTTGACAGCATGAGCAGCGCCATTGAGAGCAGTTCTCTTCTTCACGATTGGTTGATCCCTCCTGGTGACCCGGTTGGACATGACTCCCAACAGGGTCATCAGGAGGGATCAACCAATGAAGTTGGAAGTCCCACCCAGTTGGCTACGTTAAAAGTGGTGGAAGCCCTGAATGGCGCGGCCCATGCTAATGTCGTTTTGGCCACTAGAGGCCACTATCATTCTTTGTTTGAAAGCCCCGCCCACCTTGACTTATAGCACCGCCCACCGGGCGAAATGCAGTGACAAGTGTGTCCCCTGACTTAATTCACCGACTTCCTTATTCAATTCAATACAATTTATTTACACTTCATTCACTTACTTTCCCATTCAATTCGATACAACTTTACAGGTTCAATAAAGGTTAAGCGTCTTGCTCATGGGCACATTGACAGATTATTCACCTAGTCGGCTCGGGGATTCATTTTACATTTTACATTTTAGTCATTTAGCAGACGCTCTTATCCAGAGACTTACGGTTAGTGAGAGCATATATTATTATTATTATATATTTTTCATACTGGCCCCCCGTGGGAATCGAACCCACAACCCTGGCATTGCAAGCGCCACGCTCTACCAACTGAGCTCCACGGGACTTAACCAACAACCTTTTTTCGGTTACTGGCCCAACGCTCTTAACCGGTTAGGCTACCTGTCCCTCTCAGGGACAATTTAAAAAATGCGTTGCCAGGATAATCAAATCCTCACCCTGTAGGTCAATACAGGTACAACAAGAGTACTGTAGTAGCGTGGTGCTTGCAACGCCAGGGTTGTGGGTTCGATTCCCACGGGGGGCCCAGTATGAAAATGTATGCACTCACTTAACTGTAAGTCGCTCTGGATAAAGAGCGTCTGCTAAAATGACTAAAATGTACAAAAAATATCACATATCCCCGCAGCATATTCCCAGATACATGTCTACTGTATAAGTGAGTTCCATAACCTCTGTGATGGTGTTTTCTCAGATTGTCATCATAATGAGAGGGCTACCAGGAAGTGGTAAAAGTCATGTAGCCAAGCTGATAAGGGTGAGTAGAACCTAACGTTACAATCGTCTGAGCTTCGCTGTTCTGTTGTGGTAATAATTACTCATCTGGGATGAAATGTTCTTTCCAGTCATGCGTTTCCTGTTGACCAGTAGCACCACTGGAAGGGAAGAGTATTGCTCTAGACCAGTGGTTCCCAACCTTTTTTTTTTGGATACTGTACCCCTAAAACACTTTGACCTGCCTGAAGTACCCCCTTGCGCGCGTGCGACCGGCGTGATTCCTAAATTAGGTGTACATTTGACAGGGAAGTAGGAGTTGAACTCCACTGTTGAGTTTGGATAAATGTGAGCTTACTATCTGCGCCATGAGATCTCTGTCAACATCACCTGTAAAAAAGGTACTGTAGGTGTCAAGCTGCTGCAAACAACTTATATCCACATCTTCACATTTCCTCTCCCAGAGGTTGATCTTCTTCATGAATCCACACATTTTGTCATACATGTTTTAGAATGTGTATGTCTTTACCTTGCAGCGTTAAATATCAGGGTGAGTTTTTTTTCTGAACACATCAGCAAGATGGGCACACCGGGCTTCCATCACAGCCACGAGAGGGGGGGGGGGGGGGGGGGGGGGGGGGGGTGAGTGCTCAGACAGAAAATCACTCACTTCGGGGGTGAGTGCTCAGACAGAAAATCACTCACTTCGGGGGTGAGTGCTCAGACAGAAAATCACTCACTTCGGGGGTGAGTGCTCAGACAGAAAATCACTCACTTCGGGGGTGAGTGCTCAGACAGAAAATCACTCACTTCGGGGGTGAGTGCTCAGACAGAAAATCACTCACTTCGGGGGTGAGTGCTCAGACAGAAAATCACTCACTTCGGGGGTGAGTGCTCAGGCAGAAAATCACTCACTTCGGGGGTGAGTGCTCAGACAGAAAATCACTCACTTCGGGGGTGAGTGCTCAGACAGAAAATCACTCACTTCGGGGGTGAGTGCTCAGACAGAAAATCACTCACTTCGGCGCGCAGCTCAAAAGCCTCTGTAGCGCTTTCCCTCTAGATAGCCAACGGAAGTCCGCGTTAAGCATTAGCTGCTGGTGCTCAGTCCCGCTGTCATCACAGAGCCTTTCAAAACAGTCTGTGATTCAGAAGGCTTGGACTGGATGGATAAAGTTAATAATCACTGACATTGCGTCATTCAAAACATCGTGTAACTCAGGACTGATGTTCTTGCTGGCCAACGCCTCTCTGTGGATGATACATTGGGATTGACCTTCTTTATGTGGGCAATTCATCCTTTCACTCTCCCAGGCATTGATGCAGCACGATCGGTGCACACATGACACACAGGATTTCCAATCCCAGATTGTGCTCTGAGAAAAAGCTGTCAATAACGTAAAACACGTCCTCACCTGTAGATCTCCCCGTTAGCTTCTTGCAGAACAGAATGAGCTCATTTTAATTCCTGAAATGTCTCTGTATCGCACAAACGCAATCAACAGGGCTTCCACACCGACATCAGTCGATTTCGTCCAACTGCAGGGAAAATGGACTGGAATTAAAAAAAAATTTTTATCACCAATTCATCAACAATATCAACGCCCATGTCATCGATCCTACGGCACAGTGTAATTTGACAATGGTAACAGTCTTAAGTGCCTCAGCTGCTGTCTTATCCTTGCAGAAACTGTGATTTGATAACAGCATCAGGATCTCTAGCGCGCAGAGCAGGGTTGCCAGGGTGAGCAAAAAAAAAAAAAAAAAAATCCCAGTGACCACTCCAAAACCCGCATGGAAACTAGACTCATTTGTTTTTCCACAGGAAGAGAGGAGTTGCCATATTTACACTAAACCATTTTTTCCATAAAGTTATCGAGCCAATGAAGAAGGAATATCGTAGTAACAAAATTCGTTTTTTTCCCCCTCAAAATAATAATTATTGCGAGCTATGACATGACGTAATAAAGGAATTTGAATGTCGAAAGAGAGAAGATAATTCGCCCTTATTAAACTCGCCAGATCATTTTACATCAATGGATGTCGATTTAACTCGTTTGATTGCTATGATTAGGCAATAAGGCACAAGGGGGTGTGGTATATGGCCGATATACCACGGCTAAGGGCTGATCTTAAGCATGATGCAACACTATTGCTATTATAAACTGGTTACCAACGTAATTAGAACAGTACAATAATTTTTTTGTCATACCAGCGGTATATGGTCTAATCTACCACGGCTTTCAGCCAATCAGTATTCAGGGCTTGAACCAGGTTTTATAATTGTAAATAAATACCCTTTGCATAACTATAAATAAATAAATCCGACAGGAGAGTGATGAGTTGGACAGAGGACCTCAATCTCTGAGCAAGAAACACATGGAAGAACATGAATGTTAGGCTATTTTCTGGCAATTATGTGCCATAATGTTAAGATTACAAACCGTTATAAATGGCCTAATTTATTTGCGAGATTGACTTGTCATTTCAATAGGCATGGACTACAGACTCAAATCTGGGTTTCTGATTGTAATTCAACTTTGACACGGTTTGCTTAGATAAAGGCGGGTAGCCGATTGCCCCCGATAGGCCTACATCTCATTTCAGATAGTCTACAGTAGACAAGATGTAAACAAGATGTAGACTGAACGACTTAGCAGCTTGCCTAGTTCAAATGAACAGACTCGTTTATTCAACATGAATAGCGAGGCGATTTCGAGCTAAGTGCTTGCTTTTCCCAATAGCCTGCTGGCTACTGAGGATGGCTTCGTAATTTCAAACACTGAATTAAATATAAATAATTTGTATATATATGAACTGAATATGCTTGTCAACAACAGCCGGTGTTTATTTTTTTTAGAATTTGTTTTACCTGTAGCCTAATATGACTACTGTTACCGTCAATCTAATACGTTCTAACAACTGAACGGCAATTGCGATAGAGCTTTGATAACTTCCAATTTAATTAACTAAACATGTCAATTTTTAATAATAATTGCGTAATAACACAAGGCTACAACAACAACAACAACAACAACAACAACAACAACAAACTGAAGTTATAGGCTGTTTATGACATTGGTTTGCCAGCTCCAGGTAGGCTACACAAGTGGCACATTGATTTGCATTGACTCCAGTGATATCCTCATTTCAACATATTTATTGTGTCAAATGGTAGCCTACATATGAATGAATAGGCTACTTGATGGCCAACAGAGGCAAATGTCTCATTCTCCACATTTTAATATCAGTTACATTGAGGACTTTTCCCCATTTTTAAAAAGAACCTGGCGAGGGTGATCGGGAACTTCCATTTAAAATCTCCCCCCCCGGACAGTCCCCTAGACCTGAGCATGCGTAAAACCAGTAATAAGCTTGGTACCGTTTTCTTTAAGCAAATCAACATTAGAATGCAGTTTAAACAACCTCCGAGCGAATTTATGTAATGCGCCAAAAGTCGTTTTCCAGTGCTGAGTCTCCATTTTTTTATTTTTTTATTGATGTGCATCAGTTCTAGCGTATGAATGTTTTATGGAAAAAGGGGTTGGAAATAGGTGTCTCCATAATGACAATCTAAATAGCCTACCTACAACTGGTAAAGAGTTGTCACGACGTGCGCGCCTGCTGCTCCCTCTCCTCTCGCTCACGTAACTCAGCCAGTAGCTGTAGTGTTCTCACACACACACACACACACACACACCCCTCCGACCCTTCCCCGCCACTCACTCACTTTATCACTCACTCTATCACTCACTCGGCAGCATCCTGCCTCACTGCCTGGCAGTCAGCATCGGGTCACGGTGAAATATATCATTTTGCATAGAAATATAATGGCGGCCGCGGTGCATTTTTTTTTTTAGAAATGGCCCAAAAACCCAGCGACCAATAACATTTTCACCCGCGACGTCATTTTCAAAAGTAGCCCAATTTGCTAGAAAACTGCGAACGTTGCAACACTGGCGCGGAGCAAAGGACCACGTGCACTTGGCGCGAGATGAGCATCAAACATTGAGCCAACGGGCGGGCGGAGGCCAGGTAGACGGAACGATGGGCACACACCGAAACCAAAGTAGAAAAGTAGGCCTGTAAATAACTAGAGATTTCACTCCAATGACCTCAGTAAATATTTCCGTCCATATTAAAATTGAGAACTTGAATACATTTGTGGGGGTAATATTTCCCCTCCCCAAAAAAATTATTCACTTTTAAAAAAATCTTCCAACTACCCCCTGGGGACTGCCCACGTACCCCTAGGGGTACACGTACCCCACGGTTGGGAAACACTGCTCTAGATATCAGATATGTAACAGATAATAGATAGGCCAAAGAGCCACGTATTCAGAGAGTTCTGCATTATGAAGCATTTACATGACAATACAACATTCTATGGCAGCCATATTAGCGCCCGATTTAACACTGCATGGGTAATATAATATCTACAAGGAGCATAGAGGCCTATCCCAGCGTTATTTCATAATGTTACAATACAATGGGGTCCGAAATTACTGTATATAATAAATCAAATACTGAGCTAAATTGTGTGGAACAAAAAAAAACGGGGGGGAAATAATATTATTTTATGTTAATACAATTGTCAAAATTATTGACACCGCTAAGGATTCTTAGAAATAAAAGAGTCAAATGTTTTAAGTATTTGGTCCCATATTCCTAGCACGCGATGACTTCATCAAACATGTGACTCTACAAACTTGTCTGATGCATTTGCAGTTTGTTTTGGTTGTTTCAGACTATTTTGTGCCTAATAGAAATGAATGGTAAATAATGTACTGTGTCATTTCAGAGTCACTTTTATTGTAAATAAGAATAGAATATGTTTCTAAACACTTCTACATTTAATGTGGATGCTACCATGGTTACGGATAATCCCGACTGAATCGCCAATAATGATGAGTGAGAAAGTTACAGGGTCAAATATCATACCCCCAAGACATGCTAACCTCCCCTGGTATTGGTAATGGTGAGAAGTTGTCTTGGGGGTATGATATTTGACCATCTGTAACTTTCTCACTCATCATTATTTATATTATATTCTTATTTACAATAAAAGTGAATCCAAAATGACACAATACATTATTGACCATATATTTCTATTGGGCACAAAATAATCTGAAACACAACCAAAACAAACTGCAAATGCATCCAACAAATGTGTAGAGTCCCATGCCTGATGTAGTCATTGCGTTCTAGGAATATGGGACCAAATACTAAACTTTTGACTACTTTACTTATAAAAAAATATTTTTGTGTCAATAATTTTGACCCCTACCTTTTTTGAGGAAAACAATTATTACTTGTTAAGCAAAATGTATTTGTATTAGTATAAAATAAAATAATTTCCCAAATGTTTTTGAGCGCAGTATTTTAATTATTTATTTTATACAGTCATTATTCCTCATTTTTATCAAGGGTATCAATAATTTCGGACCCCACTGTCCATAGCCTCGTTTAACTGTCCTGACGAGAGCACAGCAGTCAGGATAACAAATATCTGCCCCTCATTGTAAACAAACATTTGATTTCAATTTCTACAAACCCAACGTAGTCGTCTTCATCCTTTGCCCAAAACACGTCACTTCCTGAAACTCATCTCACTGAAATACCTTGTCGTTACTAGCTCTGACCTTGCCTTGATAGCAGCTGTAATGCACTAACTGTAAGTCTCTGGATAAGAGCATCTGCTAAATGACTAAAATGTAAATGTTGTTGCGTGATTAAGGACAAGGAGGTGGAGTGTGGAGGGGCTCCTCCCAGGGTGCTGGGATTGGACGACTACTTCATGACGGAGGTGGAGAAGATGGAGAAGGACCCAGAAACAGGAAAACGAGTCAAACTCAAGGTCTGTCCTTCTGCTTTCCCTCTGACCTACTTACTTAATCCTCTCTGTTCCTATGTGGAGCCATTTACATCCTCTCTGTTCCTATGTGGAGCCATTTAAATCATCTCTGTTCCTATGTGGAGCCATTTACATCCTCTCTGTTCCTATGTGGAGCCATTTAAATCCTCTCTGTTCCTATGTGGAGCCATTTACATCCTCTCTGTTCCTATGTGGAGCCATTTAAATCCTCTCTGTTCCTATGTGGAGCCATTTACATCCTCTCTGTTCCTATGTGGAGCCATTTAAATCCTCTCTGTTCCTATGTGGAGCCATTTACATCCTCTCTGTTCCTATGTGGAGCCATTTAAATCCTCTCTGTTCCTATGTGGAGCCATTTACATCCTCTCTGTTCCTATGTGGAGCCATTTAAATCCTCTGTTCCTACTATATGTCGAGTTCCTGTACCTCTTATAGAATATTAGCGGAAACATATTGAAGAGTTCCTGCACCAAAATATAAACCGTAGCGCCGCTCAAAATGAGTACCGGCACCTATTTCAGTCCGAGTCAAGCGCTAGGCTTCCGACCAGAGAGCGCTACTACTATCTAGTTTAGTTAAATACTATCGCTCTGTAGATAGATGACTGTAGGCGTAAAAAGGCTACATTTACACAGGCAGCCTAATTCTGATATTTTTCCACTAATTGGCCTTTTGCCCAATCAGATCAGCTCTTTTGCCACTAATTGGGCATAAGATCAGAATTGGGCTGCCTGTGTAAACGCAGCCAAAGAAGGCCTAAAGACATGTATAACGTGATGGCTCACTGAAGCTATTGTAATACATTAAGCAAATGTCACCATTTAGGTTATGTAGTTCACGCAGGCTTTGCCAGGTGATTTTCATTTTCATTGATTTATTTGTAATGTAATATCAATCCATAACATTTTCCCTTTTGTCAGTGTCTGGAATACGAGTACGAAGCGGAGATGGAAGAGACGTACAGGAACAGTATGCTAAAAACCTTCAGGAAGACGCTAGACGACGGCTTCTTCCCCTTCATCATCATCGACGCTATTAATGACAGGGTTAAATACTTTGATCAGTTCTGGAGTGCTGCCAAGACTAAAGGCTTCGAGGTGAGTTAACGTTTCATATCTTGAAATATCAAAAGAGATGCAACCCCTACCTTCCAATGTCCAAACTAGCATACCGTTTAGAATACATGCCCAAGCCTCCCGAGTGGCGCAGAGGTCTAAGGCACTGCACCGCCATTATAGCCTCGGGTTCGGGAGACCCATGGGGCGGTACACAATTGGGCCAGCGCTGTCCGGGATAGGGGAGGGTTTGGCCGGCCGGTATTTCCTTGTCTCATTGTGCTCTAGCGACACCTTGTGGCGGGCCGGGCGCCTGCAAGCTGACTTCGGTCGTCAGTTGGACAGTGTTTCCTCCCGACACGTTGGTGCAGCTGGCTTCCGGGTTAAGCAAGCAGTGTGTCACGAAGCAGTGCGGCTTGGTAACTACCAATTGGCACGAAATTGGGGAGAAAAAGGGTATAAAAATAAATAAATACATGACTTCATTTTTAAGTAGTATCCTAGTGTTGATATTGGAACAGAGTTGGATCTCTCTAAAAACCCATACCATACATTCTTTGTACATGACCTACAATGATTTGCAAAAGTATTCAGACCCCTTCACATTTTATTGTGTTGCAAAGTGGGATTAAAATTGTATTTTTATGTCGACAATCTACACAAAATACTCTTTCAAAGTGGAAGAAAAAATCAAACATTTGTTAATGATTAATATAAAATAAATAACTAAAATATAGTTGTTGCAAAGTATTCAGCTCCCGGAGTCAATACATGTTAGAAACACCCAAGTCTATAAGAGCTTTGCACACCTGGATTGTACAATATTTGAACAATATTATTTTCAAAATTCTTCAAGCTCTGTCAAGATGTTGGGGATCATGGCTACACAGCAATCTTCAAGTCTTTCCATCGATTTTCAAGCAGATTTAAGTGAAAACTATAACTTGGCCACTCAGGAACATTCACTGTCTTCTTGGTAAGCAACTCTTGGCCTTCTGTTTTAAGTTATTGTCCTACTGAAAGGTGAATTTGTCTCACAGTATATGGTATAAAGCAGACTGAAGCAGATTTTCCTGTAGGATTTTGCTTAGCTCCATCCTGTTTCTTTTCATCCTGAAAAACTCCCCAGTCTTTGCCGATGTCAAGTATACCCATACCATGATGCAGCCAGCACCATGCTTGAAAATAAGGAGGCAGTTACTCTGTGATGTGTTGTTGGATTTGCCCCAAACATAAAGCTTTTCATTTAGGCCAAAAAGTGTATTCCTGTGTTTTTTTTTGCAGTATTACTTTAGTGCCTTGTTGCTAACAGGATGCATGTTTTGGAATATTTTGAATATGTATATTTGTATTCTTCTTTTCACTCTGTCATTTAGGTTAGTATTGTGGCGTCACTACAATGTTGTTGATCCATCCTCAGTTTTCTACCATCAAAGCCATTGAACTCTGTAGCTGTTTTTTTAAATCACCAATGGCCTCGTGGTGACATCCCTGAGCAGTTTCATTCCTGTCCTGCAGCTCAGTTCAGTAGGACGACTGTATCTTTGATGTGCCTGGATGGTTTAATATATAATAATTATTAACTTGACCATGCTTAAAGATTATATTCATTATTATTATTATTATTATTATCTGATTTATTGTTACCCATATACCAATCACTGCCCTTCTTTGAGGCTTTCTAAAATCTTGCTGGTCTTTGTAGTTGAAGCTGTGCTTGAAATTCAATACTTGACTGAGGGACCTTACAGATGTACGGGTGACAGAGGACGTGTTAGTCGTTCAAAAATCATGGCAACCCCTATTATTTGACACAGTGAGTCCATGTAGCTTATGTGATTTGTTAAGCCAAATGTTATTCCTGGACTAATTTTAGGTTTGCGTAAACAAAGGGGCTGAATACTTATGCAATGTCTGTTTTAGTTAGTTTAGTGTTTCTTACACTTTGATATTAGAGTATTTTGTTTAGATGGTTTCAAAAAAAGACAATTAAATCCATTTTAATCCCACTTTTGTAACACAATAAAATGTGATGAAATCCAAGGGGTCTGAATACTTTAGCAAGGCCCTGTATATTATAAACGTATACAATGTTTTATTTTCTTAGGTGTACTTGGCTGAAATCTCGGCAGACTATCAGACTTGCGCTAAAAGAAATGCCCACGGGCGGAAGATTAAGGATATTCAAAAGGTACTGTGCTGAGTGCCCTTTGCGTCCACAAGCGCAGAGCTCTCATACATTTTCAATGGTATCGGGTGTCGTATTTCTCAAGGCATCGCATTGATATTGTCAGTGATAGACCATACATATTGCTTATTCATTTTATGTTCTCCGATGTACTATTATTCAGTATGTGACAGGGACAAGTCCATAAGTATGTTGATTCATTTTTATATTTTTAGCTATAATTATTTTCTGTTGTGTGTGTGTGTATAGATGTCCAGTAACTGGGAATCGTCTCCACGTCACATGGTGCGCCTGGATATCCGCTCTTTGCTTCAGGATGCTGCTATTGAGGAGGTATGTAGTATGGAAACATACATTTTTATCACTATGTCGGGCTAATGGTTTTCTATTAATTGAGACTTAATGAAATACAGCTTAGGTGTCAATAAATACAGCGAGGTTCTGGGTTCCTGTTATAAAAGTGGACCTAGTCCTCTCTGGCAGAGGATGAGGACCAGGGAAATGAGGTCAACGCTATCCTCAATGACTATAGATGCACTGTGTCCTCTTGTGTAGCTGTAATATATTGTCTATATAACAATATATGCCATTTAGCAGATGCTTTTTATCCAAAGCGACTTAGTCATGCGTGCGTACATTTTACCCTGGTGTTACAAGCGCCATACCCTACCAACTGAGCTACAGAGGACCATACCAAATTCAATAGAAACATATTTGTATTTTAAGGTTGAGATGGAAGACTTCAATCCTGATGACGAGCCGCTGACGGAGCCCAAGAAGAAGACTGAGGAGGAGGAAGAAGACGTTAAGGTAGGACCCAGCCCTGTATAGGTGGTGGTCAATGTTCCTAAACATGCCCTTAGAGTTACCATCCTGTAGTCTTTCACATCTTATCAACCAGCTAATCAGGTGTACTAGATTAGGGTTGGAGAGCCCTGGTGTAAACCTACAGGAGGGTAGCTCTCCAGGAACAGGGTTGGAGAGCCCTGGTGTAAACCTACAGGAGGGTAGCTCTCCAGGAACAGGGTTGGAGAGGCCTGGTGTAAACCTACAGGAGGGTAGCTCTCCAGGAACAGGGTTGGAGAGTCCTGGTGTAAACCTACAGGAGGGTAGCTCTCCAGGAACAGGGTTGGAGAGTCCTGGTGTAAACCTACAGGAGGGTAGCTCTCCAGGAACAGGGTTGGAGAGCCCTGGTGTAAACCTACAGGGCGGTAGCTCTCCAGGAACAGGGTTGGAGAGGCCTGGTGTAAACCTACAGGAGGGTAGCTCTCCAGGAACAGGGTTGGAGAGGCCTGCACCAGAAACCTATTAGTCCATTTGATATGGTCACACTCCGTGTCGTTGCAGTGAGCAGACATGCTAGGTTGCTTGCAGGTACAGTGAGTGACTTGATGACATTAAGCCCTTGGCTCTTTTAAAGACTGTTGACGAATGTCAGAACTGCAGCTACAGAAGTAAATCGTTTTAGGTCAAGAAGCTGAATTCTCTGGTTGATGTAATTATTTATTTTTTTTGGCCTTGTTTGGTCGATTTTAATATACTCTGTGTCCTGAGATTAATCATATTTATAAAAACAATTCTCAAAACACGAATGATAACTTCACAGAAACTTTTGCGAAGTCAAACATCCTATACAGCGATACATAATGCAAGCGCACCAGAATGAGGAATGATCGTGGGATTTGGAAACGTGATCAAAATGGAGAAAGCAGTGTTGTCTAATGGTTAGTGCCCCTGACCGACCCCGACACACACACATTTACCGACCCACAACCCTTCAACTCTGACCTTTCCTGTCCTATCTGTTCAATAAAACCACAAAATAACTGAAGGAGTGGGATTTTCCACCTATTAAAAAAATAAATATATATATATATATATATATATATATATATATATATATATATATATATATATATATATATATATATATATATATATATATATATATAAATAAGATTCTAAATATATAAATAGATGAATCATTCAGGGTAACCTTTGCCGAGGTAATGTGGATGGGTGCTGAGGAAAATGGTTGTAAGTGATTAGAAATATCCCAGATTTTTCTTTGATTGTTAATCAAATAAGCCTAAATTAGTTCTAGATTTCTTCTGTAATCAAACTCTACTTGAGTAAGACAACAGTTTGATGCCATGGATTTAGTTCCTTACTATATGGTAAGTATAGGCAATAGCATTTAGAGTTCGATTCAGAGATTCCCATTAACTTTTTCCAAAGCGTGATAAATCTTGGAAAGTCTTTTGATGAACACGTCCTATCTCTAATTCATATAGTTGTTGTGATGCAGTAAATGGGAGACCCATGTAAAACTCTATTGTGGTATGTTGGCCAAACTTTCAAATTGTAGGTAATCAAATTGATTGAAGATCTGTATTGTTGAAGATTCCTCCTGAAGCACACGTGACGTTTCACATGCTTCTGTCATAAAACTTGACTTCTTGACAAGACTAGCCTACTAGCACTTCTTTTAGGCTGATATTCAGCATCATTCAATTTGAAAAATGTGATGATGAGATCAGCCATGTATGCATCAATCAAACAATACATGTAACTTTGTTTTTTTTACCAACATAAGGGTAATTTTAAACTGGTTAACATTTTAAAGATGGCATAGGCCTACTCACAATACAGGTATGCATATTCAATAGGAGTGTATGCATGCATTGAGTTATTGAGCTTGCTTTGGCTGATTTCACGGGGCTACAGATGACAATCTGTTTCCCCTCCATTTGGGACTTGTATTAGTCTACTGATCAACATGATTTGCATAGAAGCATCACTGCAGCAGGTCACGCCTGTATGGAAGGCCATCATATAGTTACTGCTGTTAGTTTGACAATACAAATTAACATCTATTCAATTCAAATGGGTCTAACGTAACGTCATGATTTGTGACCACGGATGCTTATGAAACTAGTGGTTTTAGTTATTTTCCGTTATTGGGGAAAAAAATACTTTTTTTTTTTTCTGCTGTCAGGACGCATCTCTTAACAACTCCAGCTGCCAGGACGAAATTCGAAACGACTCAATTGGCTAGTTCAGTTATCTGTCAAGAAATAAGCGGATTGTAATTTAGAGCGAGGCTGTAACTCCGCTCCCTTTTCACATCTCCTCACATCGCTCTCCAGCACTCATCACTTACTGCTGTTTACTCCTACTATGAGAACTAGCTCATTGGCGATGACATTTGCTACCAAGCCATAAATGTGCAAAATATCTAACAAGGAGAGCAAGGGTAGGGAAAAAGATGAAACAAAAATGCAGGTTCTGTCTGAATGACTCAAATCTGCCCGTAGTTTGATAAGTGAAAACGCACACACGCTGATCTACAGTTTTCTTGGTCCATAAACCAAGCCAGTATTAAAAATGTATGCACTCACTAACTGTAAGTCGCTCTGGATAAGAGCGTCTGCTAAATGACTAAAATGTCAAATGTAAATAAACGTGCAGGAAGATTCTTAGGTAGCTAAACGTATTGCCAACCTTTTTTATTTAGGAATTTTAAAACACTTCCTTCTTTCCTTATTATGACAATCATCTAATCCAACTATCAACTGTAAATTTACGGATACAATTGCGGCTGGTCAGATTAGCACACCAGTAAATAGCTAACGTTACACTGCAAGTCAGATGGCTCATTGCCGAAGATGGTGCATCTTCAAAATGATAACCAGCTAACGTTAGCTAGCTACGTTGGCTAGTAGCGCCTATCTGATATCTTAGCACCATGTTTATCTAGCCAGCTAGCTAGCATACTAGCCAACACCACAGATGAAAGGGTTAGTTATCGTAATCTTTGCTAACAGGTCACATAGCTATCTGCTTGGCTAGCTAGCTTGCTTATTTCATACATGTCCAGGTACGTCGACACAATACTTATTATTAGTCAACTAAACTAATATTTGGATTTTGGTCACTGTGTCAGTTCATCCATTTCTCAGTACTGCACCTTTCACTCCATTCTTCCAGCTAGACAGTCCTCAGCATTGTGTAATGCTCAGTGGCGGCTGGCATAGCAGCAGTTTTGCTATGTAGAGGGACTATCGGCTAAGCTGATAGAGAAGGGCCGATTTAGTCTAGAAAAGGCCAATATCGGCCCGATATATCGGCTCAGCCGGTTTATCGTTTGTTCTCTAATTTCTGATGCAAATAACGGATATGACTTGATAATATGCACTTCCACAGTCCAGTTGATAACGAGTTGTGAAGCTATTTCTACAAACAGCACCATGGTAAAGTTTTGCTATGTCATGTTTTTCTCATGTACAGTGCCTTGTAAAAGTATTCATCCCCCTTAGCGTTTTTCCTATTTTGTTGCATTACAACCTGTAATTTAAATGGATTTTCATTTCATGTAATGGACATAAACAAAATAGTCCAAATTGGTGACGTGGAATGGAAAAAAATTACTTGCTTCAAAGAATTCTAAAAAATAAATAACGGAAAAGTGGTGCGTGCATATGTATTCACCCCCTTTGCTATGAAGCCCCAAATTAGGTCTGGTGCAACCAATTACCTTCAGAAGTCACATAATTAGTTAAATAAAGTCCACCTGTGTGCAATCTAAGTCTCACATGATCTGTCACATGATCTCAGTATATATACACGTGTTCTGAAAGGCCCCAGAGTCTGCAACACCACTAAGCAAGGGGCACCACCAAGCAAGCGGCACCATGAAGACCAAGGAGCTCTCCAAACAGATCAGGGACAAAGTTGTGGAGAAGTACAGATCAGGGTTGTGTTATAAAAAAATATCAGAAACTTTGATCATCCCACGGGGCACCATTTTTAAATCCATTATTAAAAAATGGAAAGAATATGGCACCACAACAAACCTGCAAAGAGAGAGCCGCCCACCAAAACTCACGGACCAGGCAAGGAGGGCATTAATCAGAGAGGCAACAAAGAAACCAAAGGGGGGACCAGTATGAAAAATGTATGCACTCACTAACTGTAAGTCGCTCTGGATAAGAGCGTCTGCTAAATGACTAAAATGTAAAATGTACACGTCGATCCAGAACATCCCAAACATGCTCAATGAGTGACATGTCTGCTGAGTATGTAGGCCATGGAAGAACTGGGACATTTTAAAGTTTCCAGGCATTCTGTACAGATCCTTACGACATGGGGCCGTGCATTATCATGCTAAAACCTGAGGTGATGGTGGTGCATGAATGGCACGACAATGAGCCTCAGGATCTTGTCACGGTATTTCTGTGCATTCAAATTGCCATCGATAAAATGCAATTGTGTTTGTTGTCCGTAGCTTATGCCTGCCCATACCATAACCCCACCGCCACCATGGGGCACTCTGTTCACAACATTGACATCAGCAAACCATTCACCCACATTTCCCCGGTAGTTGAAACTGGGATTCATCCATGAAGAGCACACTTCTCCATCATGCCAGTGGCCATTGAAGGTGAGCATTTGCCCACTGAAGTCTGTTATGATGCTGAACTGCAGTCAGGTCAAGACCCTGGTGAGGACGACGAGCACGCAGATGAGCTTCCCTGAGATGGTTTCTGACAGATGGTTGTGCAAACCCACAGTTTCATAAGCTGTGTGGGTGTCTGGTCTCAGACGATCTCGCAGGTGAAGAAGCTGGATGTGGAGGTCCTGGGCTGGCGTGGTTACACATGGACTGTGGTTGTGAGGCCTGTTGGACGTACTGCCAAATTCTCTAAAACTACGTTGAAGGCGGCTTATGGTAGAAATATTGACATTACATTTTCTTGAAACAGCTCTGGTGGACATTCCTGCAGTCAGCATGCCAATTGCACGCTCCCTCAACTTGAGACATCCTGACAGGTGTGGCATTGTGTTGTGTGACAAAACTGCACATTTTTAGTGGCCTTTTATTGTCCCCAGCACAAGGTGCACCTGTGTAATGATCATGCTGTTTAATCAGTTTCTTGATATGCCACACCTGTCATGTGGATGGATTATCTTGGCAAAGGAGAAACGCTCACTAACAGTGAAATAAACTAATTTATGCACACAATTTGAGCGAAATAAGCTTTTTGTGCGTATGGAACATTTCTGGGATCTTTTTATTTCAGCTCATGAAACATGGGACCAACACTTTACATGTTGTGTTTTATATTTTGTATTCAGTGTATTAGAAATGGTTACAGCTACAGTACACCAGGAAATAACTCTCACTCAGAAGTTGAATTGGATTGGACATTAGGAAAATATCATGCTACAGGGTTTGGGTCAATTTCAGTCAATTCAGAAAGTACACCAAATTCCACGTTTCCCTCATTGAAAATCAATGAAGGGAATTGTAATGTCAGTGTACTTTCTGAGTTGACTGGAATTTAAATAGAATTTACCCCAACCCTGCCGGAACTCACTTCTCCATTAGTTTTGTGCTGTTAGTAACAAGGTATCCTCGTCCCCAGGCTAGTGCTGCAGAATGTAGACAGACACAGAGCGCAGACTGGTGGACGAGGTTAGGGACAAGGGGGATTGTCTGTCGGAGCGCCTTTCAACATGCCGTGGTCATTTTGTCAGCACTAAATCGGCAGGGGAAGTGACTGCCCTTACTGAAAAGCAGGCTTCTGGCAAACAGTTGTGGCAAACTTTTGGCCAATTTGATCATTTTTCACCTGCAAATTTAGTTTTGTGGCAAACTGTTGCAGTACATTTGCGACTTGTAAACAAATTCTGGGAAACTTGTGGCGAACATTCTGCTGTTTGATGCAAATGTGCTGCGAACTCTGTATGAATATGTAAGTTAATTCAGGTTTTTGGTTACTGTGTGTGAACAACATTGAAATGCATCTACATAACCAAATCACATCATTTTAAATTAACTTGCTTCTCACAGAGAACTAAACATATTAAATGTAGTAAATATACTAAACAAAACATTCAATTTATTCAATGTCTTAACAGACAGTCATCAGTTGATGAAGTTGCTATGCTTCTCACTGAAACTGGCATTCTATTTTTCAGCAAGGAAACAATGTTTCTGCCTTGTATAAATGTTATATAAACAAACGATGTAGCTAGCATAAACTGGGACTTAGGCCTACTAAATGTACCTTTGAATGTGTGGCCAACTGTTCCTAGAGTATACAATATTTTTCACCAGCCAAGCCTCAACACAACTGATTCAAACTAATCAACTAATTTTGATATTCAATCTAGACTGGGGACTTCATCATTGAGAGACAGTTGTCTCTTCTTCCTGACTCAAGTGTATATGGCTTGGGTGGAAGAAAAGCAACTTAAAATTGAGCTATGTCTAATATGGCAATTCATATAATATTTCCTAAATTAATTGTTCACTTGCATCTCAAATCCATGCATGTAAGAAGCCTTGACCTGGTGCACACATTTCTGTCTTCAGTTTGATTGAAGGCCTCAATCTGTTTTTGTTTTTTTGCCTGGTAACTGATACCTTCTAGAGAGGAGGAACAACACATGATCAAGATGAGCTAGCTACTAGTTTAAAGCAATGAAAGATCCAATTGTTACAAATAATGAATGTATGGGCTACATTTTATGAGAATAATACAAGCATTTGCTTACCATATCAAGCTTGAAGATGATACTCATTTATAACTCAAAAAAGTGAGTGAGTGCATCACAAACATCTTTCCAGGGTGTTGATGCATCCTTCTCCCAATACAGCCTCTTCCAACACCACGGGCAGGGGAAGGGTATCCATCTTGCTTTGATGTCAAGTCCGCTCATATTATTGCTACCTTTAGCTGTTGTGCTAGCTAACATGCTACTGAACCGTGACACTAGCATATTGACATGCATATTGATATTAAAAGACAGCAACGTATTCACCTAAAAAGTGTTTAGGCAAATCATTAGTTAGCTAGGTAGCTATCACATTAATAGTGCAAAAATATGATTGCTAACTAAGCGCTAGCCAGTCATTGGCGCTGACAGATTGAAACTGGTATCAACAAAATGTGTTTCACTCTATCCCTTAAAACATGACATTGCTAACTAGGCATCAATTAGCTAACATAATTTTTACGTTTATTAGGAAGTTTAATGAATAAGTTAGACACTCACTGGACAACTTTGGTAGGTAGCTAGCTAGCTAGATAGCTTGGTTTCCATTTTCCAACAGCATTTTCTAGTCCCCCTGATTGGTCGTCAACGGTTACTGGTCTTGGAACTGATGTGTTCACCAGAAATGGCTTTTGGTAAACTATTTGCCGCTATTGGCAATAAATATTGTTGCCACAGGTTTGCCACATACTCAAATAGAATCTTGAGAGAATTTTTTGCCAGAAAAATAACTCTGACGAACTGTTTGCCACTTGTGGCAATAAATATTATTGTTGCCAAAGGTTTGCCGCACATTCACCACTAGTGGCAAAAATTTGCTAACTTCTGGCAATATTTTGTGGCACACCATGTAGTTTGCAGCAAATTTGTGACAAAGTTACGGGAAGTTTGCCTCAACAAATTAATTTTTTCTAAGTGTGATTTTTGAATATAAAAGTATTTGAAGCATATTAAAGTAGTATTTATGGAGCCATATCCGAGGCTGTGTATGGAGCCGTATCAGAGGCTGTACATTTTTTAGGGTAAAAAAAATTTAATTTATAAAAAGTGTCACTACTTTTACAACATGTATTTTTTTTGTACTTTCCAACTTTGTTAACTGTAGCTGTGCTATAGTACTAACTGTAAATAAATGGGATTATGACAAAAATGCTTAGATAAATTGACTAAATTCATATTGTTTTTTTTTTATGCATAGTTTTGGAGCATTTGACGTGATTTAGCGACCTAAACACAAAATATAAAAGTTAGACTTATTACAATGGTAGCTGTTCGAAAGCACTCACTATTAACTTCAGTTGTGACAAGTTGCATTTTTATTTATTTTTTACAATTAAACGCTTCATGTTTTTAAAGTTGGCACTTGTCCTTTGGAACATACTATAGTTGGCGCAAGTTTCTCCATACCTGTATTTAAGGAAATTGCTGGATCCACTACAGGTATCTGTGTTGTAGCAAATGGTTGGGGAGGTTAAAGGTTAAATAACTAGCCGGATTTCGACCTTTTCTAACATGCGTTTAGAACTGAAGAGGTTTTAGTCAGAATACATGTTTTGCACACGCTTCATTTATTTACAAAATACTGCAGAATCAAATACTATTAATGTCCAACTTGTGTATACCAGTGTTGTGTTTTTCTTCAGTAGGGCAACTAGGCAATATCATCTAATGAGCTCGTTTCAACTTTGGTGTCCTACCAAACGTGGAACCACGATTTAACACAGTGTTGATGAAATCTAGTTGTTGTGCTAGCTCTTGCAGTAGGCTAGCTTGTGTATCAACTAGCCGGTTTCTAAAGTCATAACTGTCTCTAAATGCTTTGATCATGGCTTACACCAAAGGCACATCCTCTCAACTGAGGTGTCATAATGACATCTGACATCGTTTGCATGCCAACATCTTTAAAGCTATTTCATTATGTCTCATGTCGTGCCATTCTTGCGATTTTTTTTGTCGTGATTTGTACTAGTATTGTTTGATTAACCTAACTATTTGAACGCCTTCTCTCCCGTCACCGAAACCCTTCCCCACCCTCTCTCTCTCTCTCTCTCTCTCTCTCCTGACCCCTAGCTCCTCCCCCTGACCCCTAGCTCCTCCTCCTGACCCCTAGCTCCTTGCCATTCCGAGGCCTAACGGTTGCGGTCTCTTCTCTGTATAATTTAGGGTTACATTCCACAAAGCAAATGGGAGATGGACACTTCTGATGCGAAACTCGGTAGGTATTCCCTCTTACTAATGTACATGATGTTCACTAACAACTCTAGCTTCCAGTTGATGTTCCTGTTGCGCCACAGTGACATTCTCTTCAACTCCATATTTTTTTTTTTTTTCAGACCTCTCGTCGGGGAACCCCCCAGACGTTTCACAATTTGGTTGTAGGCCTAAACTAGTTCACCTGATTTTAAGTAGTCAATGTCTTGATAACTAGTTGGCTAATTGAATCAGGTGTGCTAACTCTGGAATGGTTCAAATACATGGAACGTCTGGGGGGGTCCCGAAGGAGAGGTTTTGACACCTGTTGTCTAAACAGTTTCCAGTCTCCTCATTATAGACGAATATGCAGAAATGCTGAATACAAATGATCTGATCAAAATACACAGATGTGATCAAAATAGTACATTTCAAATAAATAACATCAACTCATATTCACAAAAACCATTTGCGCTTGCTTTAAACTGTGCACACAGTTTGAAGGGCAAAAGGGTGCTCAACTCTCCTTGCTTCAATATCAAAATGAGAGGCAACTCTTTGAGGGGATCCTTGGCAATAAAATCGGACAACGTGGAAAGTTTCTTAAGAACATTCAAAATATTTATAGTCGGAAACAAGAAACGGCATGACACAGAATCTAATCGGCATGGTCATCGTCGTCACGGTGACAATGTCATCAGTGAAGTAGCTAGTATTTATTATTTTGCTGAGTCGTGAGGTGACGTGGCGAGCGCTCTTCTCCTTACAGACAAGCTGGACGGCCTGGTGATGGGGGGAAAGAGGAAGAGGGAGGGAGATGACATGGCAGGCATGGAGGACTTTCTTCAGCTGCCAGACGACTACGCCACGCGCCACTCTGAGCCCGGCAAGAAGAGGGTAAAGTGGCATATACCATATTTTTTAAATCCTGTCTTACCTGTTTCTCTTTAACAGACATTTTGATTGTTTGACATTTCCCAAAACATCTCCATGTTGCATCTTATTTATAATATTGTTTTATGTAACCTTTTATTTATTTAGGCAACTCTGTTCTTATTTACAATGACAGCCTGACTGACCATAGAATATGGTTTGCAGACCATAAAATGTGATCGTTTGACCAGTCACAACATCTCTGTAATCCAAGGCGCCTGGAGAATTTCATCACAAAATCAGGATTATCTATTGGTGAAAAATGTGGATTTGATCGTGGTTTGGTGTGCTCCCTAAATACTGTTTCGCAAAATTACTAGAATATTTAAATTGAAATGCAATGTCAGACCAGCTAGCTAGCATGAACAGAACATTGCCTACTCCTCGTCCTTTTCCTGCTCATGACCCCCGCTGGATGTTTTCCTTCCTGTCCTCTAGGTTCGCTGGGCTGACCTCGAAGAGCAGAAGGACGCCGAACGCAAGCGTGATATCGGCTTTGTGGTGGGTCAAACAGACTGGGAGAAAATCACAGACCAGAGTGGACAGATAGCTCAGAGAGCTCTCAATCGCACTAAGTATTTCTAATAACAGAAGATCACTGTCCTCACCCCTGCTTCTTGGTTTAAAGGTATGTCCATTTAAATTCTATGAATAATCTAATTTGATACAGTATTGCCATGTTTTTGGAGTGCCATTTATGTAATGACATGTCTTTGTTTATTACAGTTAGGAGAGAAGGCTAGTAGTTATTTTGACAGAATTAGGGGGTTATGAAACCTATGTTCTATGTGAAAGCACCCAAGTAACTACTGTTTTTGGCAAAAAGCGATGACTTAAATCTTGACTGAGATGATGCATCTACACTGAACAAAAATATAAAGGCAAAAATGCAACAATTTCAAAGATTTTACTGAGTTAGTTCATATAAGGAAATCAAGTCAATCGAAATAAATTCATTAGGCCCTAACCTATGGATTTCACATGACTAGGAATACAGATATGTACCTCTTGGGTCACAGATACCTAAAAACAAAGGTAGGGGCGTGGATCAGAAAACAAGTCAGTATCTGGTGTGACCACCATTTGCCTCATGCAGCGCGACACATCTCCTTCGCATAGAGTTGATCAGGCTGTTGTTGATTGTGGCCTGTGGAATGTTGTCCGACTCGTCTTCTATGGCTGTGCGAACCAGTGGAGGCTGGTGAGGGGAGAAGGGCTCATAATAATGGCTGGAACGGAGCGTTTCATGTTTTTGATACCATTCCACTTATACCACCAACCTCCTCTGACTGGAACGCGCTGTCGTACACGTCGATCCAGAGCATCCCAAACATGCTCAATAAGGTGACATGTCTGGTGCGTATGCAGGCCATGGAAGAACTGGGACATTTTCAGCTGGAATTGGATACAGATCCTTGCGACATGGGGCCGTGCATTATCATGCTGAAACATGAGGTGATGGCGGCGGATGAATGGCACGACAATGGGTCTCAGGATCTCGTCACGGTATCTCTGTGCATTCAAATTGCCATCGTTAAAATGCAATTGTGTTTGTGGTCCGTAGCTTATGCCTGCCCATACCATAACCCCACCGCCACCATGGGGAACTTTGTTCACAACGTTGACATCAGCAAACCGCTCGCCCACACGACGCCTCTGTCATCTGCCAGGTACAGTTGAAACTGGAATTCATCTGTGAAGGGCACACTTCTCCAGCATGCCAGAGGCCATCGAAGGTGAGCAATTGCCCATTGAATTCGGTTACGACGCCAAACTGCAGTCAGGTCAAGACCCTGGTGAGGACAGCGAGCACGCAGATGAGCCAGTCAGGTCAAGACCCTGGTGAGGACAGCGAGCACGCAGATGAGCCAGTCAGGTCAAGACCCTGGTGAGGACAGCGAGCACGCAGATGAGCCAGTCAGGTCAAGACCCTGGTGAGGACAGCGAGCACGCAGATGAGCCAGTCAGGTCAAGACCCTGGTGAGGACAGCGAGCACGCAGATGAGCCAGTCAGGTCAAGACCCTGGTGAGGACAGCGAGCACGCAGATGAGCCAGTCAGGTCAAGACCCTGGTGAGGACAGCGAGCACGCAGATGAGCCAGTCAGGTCAAGACCCTGGTGAGGACAGCGAGCACGCAGATGAGCCAGTCAGGTCAAGACCCTGGTGAGGACAGCGAGCACGCAGATGAGCCAGTCAGGTCAAGACCCTGGTGAGGACAGCGAGCACGCAGATGAGCTTCCCTGAGATGGTTTATGACAGTAGGTGCAGAAATGCTTTGGTTGTGCAAATCCACAGTTTCATCAGTTGTCTGGGTGGCTGGTCTCAGATGATCCCGCAGGTGAAGAAGCTGGATGTGGAGGTCCTGGGCTGGCGTGGTTACACATGGTCTGCAGTTGTGAGGCCGGTTGGACGTACTGCCAAATTCTCTTAAAACAACATTGGAGGCAGTTTATGGTAGAGAAATGAACATTCAATTCTCTGGCAACAGCTCTGGTGGACATTCCTGCAGTCAATTGCCAATTGACTGCAAAACTTGAGACATCTGTGGCATTGTATTGTGTGACAAAACTGCACATTTTAGTGGCCTTTTATTGTCCCCAGCACAAGGTGCACCTGTGTAATGATAATGCTGTTTAATCAGCTTCTTGATATGCCACACCTGTCAGGTGGATGGATTATTTTGGCAAAGGAGAAATGCTCACTAAAAGGGATGTAAACAAATGTGTGCACAAAATTTGAAAGAAATACGCTTTTTGTGCGTATGGAAAATGTCTGGGATCTTTTATTTCAGCTTTATTTCACACGTTTACATGTTGCGTTTTTATATTTTTGTTCGGTGTAGTTAAATTGTCACCATTTTTATAACGCATAACAAAACACTGTTTTTTTTTCATCCGTTATCTATTACGGTTGCCTAATTTTAACATTGAAGGAATATATATATTATGTTCTTGTAAGATCAGTAATTGAAAAGTCAATTGGATGTATGTAGCAATTGCAGATTACCCCATTTTTAATATTTGTGGCATATTTTTCAATCAGTTTTCTTTTTTCCTCTAGGTCTGCAGACTGAATATCCTGAACCGAATTCTCAAAAAAACACAAGTCATCAAGACTGCACACCGACGTTTAGGAAATACATAGTTGTTTTATTCCATTATTAGAATACAGGATAGCTTTATCTTGCGTTAAAGACATTTCTTGATCTTCATTTAGAATATTTGTAGATGATTTCCCTTCGTCCTATGCTTTCGGTGGTAAGATCAGTGTGCTTCTCATTTTATACTGTACAAGCTGTAATGTCTACCTGTAATGTTAGCACTGTTGCTTATTTTAAGAGAGAAACTGAAGTAACAATAAAGGTTTCACACCAAAAACAACCAGGAGAGTATCTTGTGAGTGATCATGTGGGCCACACCATGGAGAATCTTCTGTGATGTCGTCTGTTTTCATGTGGACCACATTCGGTAGAACCTCCAAAGATACAAACCTCATTCTTTTGGTGATATTTATTTTTTATTTTTTTGTGTCCCATTTCAAAAGTTACGAAAGTTTCAGTATTTTCAAACAACCTCCATTCCCGGTGTGTTTCGTATCTCTTAAGGTCCTACTGTGTTACAGGAGGTTAGAGTGGTGGAACAGTAGCGGCAATGTTCTTGGTTCACTGACTGCCATTGTGCCCATGAGCAAGGAAACTCTCAAACCGCTGCAGGGAGGCTGCACTGCGTTTTACCCTTTGCCTCTCAATGCATGTGTGTGGCAGGGAGTTAACGCGAAGTTAAATTAATTTAGAAATCAAGCCACAGCACAGAGTATCACTTATCTTTTTTAAATTTGATTTTAATTAAAAATCTGTCAACCATTGCATTTCACATAACTTAATCTCCTAAGAGTTTGAAGATAAGAAAAAATTCAATCACTTTCTTGCAACAAATCAAATACTGAATTGAAAGTCCAGTATACAGTGGGGAGAACAAGTATTTGATAACCTGCAAAATCGGCAGTGTTTCCTACTTACAAAGCATGTAGAGGTCTGTAATTTTTATCATATTTACACTTCAAATGTGAGAGACGGAATCTAAAACAAAAATCCAGAAAATCACATTGTATGATTTTTAAGTAATTAATTTGCATTTTATTGCATGACATAAGTATTTGATCACCTACCAACCAGTACGAATTCCGGCTCTCACAGACCTGTTAGTTTTTCTTTAAGAAGCCCTCCTGTTCTCCACTCATTACCTGTATTAACTGCACCTGTTTGAACTCGTTACCTGTATAAAAGACACCTGTCCACACACTCAATCAAACAGACTCCAACCTCTCCACAATGGCCAAGACCAGAGAGCTGTGTAAGGACATCAGGGATACAATTGTAGACCTGCACAAGGCTGGGATGGGCTACAGGACAATAGGCAAGCAGCTTGGTGAGAAGGCAACAACTGTTGGCGCAATTATTAGAAAATGGAAGAAGTTCAAGATGACGGTCAATCACCCTCGGTCTGGGGCTCCATGCAAGATCTCACCTCGTGGGGCATCAATGATCATGAGGAAGGTGAGGGATCAGCCCAGAACTACACGGCAGGACCTGGTCAATGACCTGAAGAGAGCTGGGACCACAGTCTCAAAGAAAACCATTAGTAACACACTACGCCGTCATGGATTAAAATCCTGCAGCGCACGCAAGGTCCCCCTGCTCAAGCCAGCGCATGTCCAGGCCAGTCTGAAGTTTGCCAATGACAATCTGGATGATCCAGAGGAGGCATGGGAGAAGGTCATGTGGTCTGATGAGACAAAAATAGAGCTTTTTGGTCTAAACTCCACTCGCCGTGTTTGGAGGAAGAAGAAGGATGAGTACAACCCCAAGAACACCATCCCAACCGTGAAGCATGGAGGTGGAACATAATTATTTGGGGATGCTTTTCTGCAAAGGGGACAGGACGACTGCACCGTATTGAAGGGAGGATGGATGGGGCCATGTATCGCGAGATCTTGGCCAACAACCTCCTTCCCTCAGTAAGAGCATTGAAGATGGGTTGTGGCTGGGTCTTCCAGCATGACAACGACCCGAAACACACAGCCAGGACAACTAAGGAGTGGCTCCGTAAGAAGCATCTCAAGGTCCTGGAGTGGCCTAGCCAGTCTCCAGACGTGAACCCAATAGAACATCTTTGGAGGGAGCTGAAAGTCCGTATTGCCCAGCGACAGCCCCGAAACCTGAAGGATCTGGAGAAGGTCTGTATGGAGGAGTGGGCCAAAATCCCTGCTGCAGTGTGTGCAAACCTGGTCAAGACCTACAGGAAACGTATGATCTCTGTAATTGCAAACAAAGGTTTCTGTACCAAATATTAAGTTCTGCTTTTCTGATGTATCAAATACTTATGTCATGCAATAAAATGCAAATTAATTACTTAAATCATACAATGTGATTTTCTGGATTTTTGTTTTAGATTCCGTCTCTCACAGTTGAAGTGTACCTATGATAAAAATTACAGACCTCTACATGCTTTGTAAGTAGGAAAACCTGCAAAATCGGCAGTGTATCAAATACTTGTTCTCCCCACTGTATATATTTTGTGCTGTTACACGATCTTACAAATAAATAAACAAGCCATGTTATAACATTGACCGTCACACAGCGACTTGTAAAACGCAACCAAAATTTCAATTTTCTGGTAAATTCGACACTATAAACTTGCTAACTGACGCGAATGCCGTGTTCCTATCATTGTACAAAGAGGCCCTATAGGTATCAAGCCAAAAAGAAACGTAAGTCAACAATGGTCACCTCTCTTTTTTAACAGTAGGCTCTCGTCAGCCATAGCAAGCATTACCGGCCCATGCTCCACTAAGGGACTTTTATATTCTTCTTCTGTATTTTTTTTTGTCACATGACTTTTATTCCTATTGCTAATTGACTGAAATAAATTCTGACTACACAGCTATAATCCAGACTGTCTGTTTCTGACCTGTCAATCTGAGATTATGATGGTGGTTATATGATCATCTTGAGTGAATATTGTCAATTATGACAATCTGAGAGAATATACTGTATCCTGTAGTTGTGAATAGTTGTTGAATGGCATACTGTACCACATGTTCTGTACTGTAGCTCAAAGACTGGTTCTAGAGACTATACAGTGAGGGAAAAAGTATTCCAAACTCTTCACCATGGCCAAGACCAAAGAGCTCTCCAAGGATGTCAGGGACAAGATTGTAGACCTACACAAGGCTGGAATGGGCTACAAGACCATCGCCAAGCAGCTTGGTGAAAAGGTAACAACAGTTGGTGCGATTATTCGCAAATGGAAGAAACACAAAATAACTGTCAATCTCCCTCGGCCTGGGGCTCCATGCAAGATCTCACCTCGTGGAGTTGCAATGATCATGAGAACGGTGAGGAATCAGCCCAGAACTACACTGGAGGATCTTGTCAATGATCTCAAGGCAGCTGGGACTATAGTCACCAAGAAAACAATTGTTAACACACTACGCCGTGAAGGACTGAAATACTGCAGCGCCCGCAAGGTCCCCCTGCTCAAGAAAGCACATATACAGGGCCGTCTGAAGTTTGCCAATGAACATCTGAATGATTCAGAGGAGAACTGGGTAAAAGTGTTGTGGTCAGATGAGACCAAAAGCGAGCTCTTTGGCATCAACTCAACTCGCTGTGTTTGGAGGAGGAGGAATGCTGCCTATGACCACAAGAACACCACCCCCACCGTCAAACATGGAGGTGGAAACATTATGCTTTGGGGGTGTTTTTCTGCTAAGGGGACAGGACAACGTCACCGCATCAAAGGGACGATGGACGGGGCCATGTACCGTCAAATCTTGGGTGAGAACCTCCTTCCCTCAGCCAGGGCATTGAAAATGGGTCGTGGATGGGTATTCCAGCATGACAATGACCCAAAACACATGGCCAAGGCAACAAAGGAGTGGCTCAAGAAGAAGCACATTAAGGTCCTGGAGTGGCCTAGCCAGTCTCCAGACCTTAATCCCATAGAAAATCTGTGAAGGGAGCTGAAGGTTCGAGTTGCCAAACGTCAGTCTCAAAACCTTAATGACTTGGAGAAGATCTGCAAAGAGGATTGGGACAAAATCCCTCCTGAGATGTGTGCAAACCTGGTGGCCAACTACAAGAAACGTCTGACCTCTGTGATTGCCAACAAGAGTTTTGCCACCAAGTACTAAGTCATGTTTTGCAGAGGGGTCAAATACTTATTTCCCTCATTTAAAATGCAAATCAATTTATAAAATGTTTGACATGTGTTTTTCTGGATTTTTGTTGTTGTTATTCTGTCTCTCACTTTTCAAATAAACCTACCATTTAAAATTATAGACTGATCATGTCTTTGTCAGTGGGCAAATGTACAAAATCAGCAGGGGATCAAATATTTTGTTCCCTCAATATACCTGTCCACAACTAGACCCTATTCCCTTTATAGTGCACTACTAAATGTAAACAGCTGGTGTATATTCTAACACCAGGGCATAGAGCCATTGAGGACTTTCACCATTTTAAAGTAGTCAACTGGGTGTGACTTCCTGTGGGTTAAGGAAGGATCACATCATTCCATCCAGGTCATCAGGAGGGATCAGCCAATTAATTATTCTCTAGCGCAAACGTTCCATAACTGCAGGTGGCAGTAAATTGCCAACCTTGGCGTTTATACCTGTTCAAACAACACACTCCAGGTGGCAGTATGCAGCCTTTCAGTTTGTTTACCAACTCATAGAAGTTGTAGAAGAAGAAACACACTGCCCGTGCACTCACAGACGCCATAGTGGGACAAATACAACGTTGCGCTCTCTATACATCTCTTTGCCCCAGGGATAGCTATTGTCCCATTGCTGTGTGATGCGATTTACTGAAGATGCACAAGACCGAGACTACACTCCGCTGAAGCATCTGCATTGAGTGTCAATCAACAGATGTTGCTGGCTATGAAGACATCACCTGAACACCTGTCTAAGACCTTGTTTGATTGACATAGCCGATATGGAGCTTAGACATTTCCTGTGCGATGGCTGAAACTTTCAGCAGAGACGTCAAGGTGAGTAATATTGAATTAAGTTATGTGGAATTGTAGGCAAAAAGTGGTTCTTTACAGAATGTTTCTAATACTAAAATACCTATAAAGCACATTTCTACCAATCAATATGTAGTAGCTAATGGATATTTAGACTGAACAAAAGTACAAACGCAACAATTTCTGGGTTACAGTTTATATAAGGAAATCAGTCAATTTAAATAAAATGCATTAGGCCCTAATCTATGGATTTCACATGACTGGGAATACAGATATGCATCTGTTGGTCACAGATACCTTTAAAAAATGGGCCTCACAATGGGCCTCAGGATCTCGTCACGGTATCTCTGTGCATTCAAATTGCCATTGATAAAATTAAGTTGTTTTCGTTGTCCGTAGCTTATGCCTGCCCATACCGTAACCCCACCGCCACCCTGGGGCACTCTGTTCACAATGTTGACGTCAGCAAACTGCTCCACCACATGCCATGCACGTGGTCTGCGGTTGTGAGGCCAGTTGGACGTACTGCCAAATTATCTAAAACGACATTGGAGGCGGCTTATGGTTGAGAAATGAACATTCAATTCTCTGGCAACAGCTCTGGTGGGCATTCCTGCAGTCAGCATGCCAATTGCACACTCCCTCAAAACTTGAGACGTCTTTGGCATTGTGTTGTGTGACAAAAACTGCAAATTTTAGTGGCATTTTATTGTCCCCAGCACAAGGTGCACCTGTGTAATGATCATGCTGTTTAATCAGCTTCTTGATATGCCACACCTGTCAGGTGGATGGATTATCTTGGCAAAGAGGAAATGCTGACTAACAGGGATGTAAACAAATTTGTGCCCAAAATTTGAGAGAAATAAGCTTTTTCAGCGTATGGAAAACGTCTTTACATGTTGCGTTTATATTTTTTGTTCAGTGTAATTCAACTGTCTTTCGTTTTAGCTGTCTGAAGTGAAATGGGATGGTTCCACAGTGTATTTTTTGATTATTGTTACTATACATGTAACATCAATTGCAACAATATTATTTTTTGTAAAAACCTAAATTGTCTTAAGTAGAAAAACAATCCTCACTTGTTCCTTTAAGGCCATACGCGCTTTACCAAAACAGGTTTGAAATGTAATACAGATGAAATTGTTTTGATCCACCCCTCTAGTAAATCTAGAAAATGACTGTGATAAATGAGGAAAAAGGTGTAAAAGCTGTTGAATATTGTTCTTGTGGCTTTTTTTTTTTTTTTGGTCTCTGTGTCTTTTCCTTTACCACAGCCTGCCTTGTGTCCTCTTGGGAGTTGGAAAACAGATATTTGATTTATCTAATCAAATAATCCTGACATACTGCATGTTTCAATTGATGTATGCATAAAAAAAACTTGAACCAAGGCCTCTTGTATTATTGTTAATCGTATTGATATAGCAAAAAAAATACACATTGTACAATTCATTATGCCTGTTTTAAAAGGACACACTGGTTGATAAGACCGTCTGCTCGACAGGAAAACATGCCTTTTAATGTACTGTACGCCGATTCCATTTTGATTCACATTTATGTCTAACAGAAATGTCATTTGCCCAGAGCTTCACACAACTACAGCCATTCTCACATGGCAGACCTCTCTGGTTGTGGCACAAATAGTATGCTGCTGAAGACCAGGCTGCAGTTTATATGGTCTTTAGCTGCAGCAGAGGCTTTTATCCAGATAGTAGGCCTCCTGCAGTTTATATGGTCTTTAGCAGATGCTTTTATCCAGATAGTAGGCCTCCTGCAGTTTATATGGTCTTTAGCAGATGATTTTATCCAGATAGTAGGCCTCCTGCAGTTTATATGGTCTTTAGCAGATGCTTTTATCCAGATAGTAGGCCTCCTGCAGTTTATATGGTCTTTAGCAGACGCTTTTATCCAGAGTGACTTGCAGAACTGTCAACATTGATAGCGGCACGAAGAAAATCCCATGAGGGGAAAATATTTCTACAGTAAAGGATTAAACGCATCTCTCTGACTCTATAGGAGTCACTTCCTACCTGTGCATTTGTTTCCAAGTTTCCACTTCCCTCTGACGTTTTTCAAAAGGAGGATAGAAATCGTGGAAATCCAATTGCGAAAAGGCCTATGTTGTGAGGTGAGCTTTTTGAAGGGTGCTTTAAATTCAGTGGTACATGCAGGAAAATAGTTTTAATACAGCACCATCCATTCTGGATGAAACCCCCCCCCTCTCTTTGTCTGGCTCTTTCTATGTTGCGAGGTGGGCTTTGAATTCAGCCGGTACGTCACTGTCCAGTTTACAGATGACCTTATAGATGGCTTTCTTCCAGGATGGGTCTGAGTCTCTGGCCAGAGAGATGGCAATGTAAAACTCCTGTAGTGTGATCTCAGCCACCTCAAGAAACCTGTCAGGGACCTGTGGATGAAAGGCACGATCAGTTAGATTTCAAAAGGGCAATCTGCAATTCAAACAAAGCCGACACAATTTTGGTTAAAAAAGAAAAAGCTGATGGGGCTGGAAATGTAACCATTGGCAAATGTATAGACAGAACTGTGGATGCAAGAACTGACCATCCATGAGATCAACATTATAGCTCTAACCTGTATAGGTACTGTAGGATGACAACTGAATATGATATAGAAAATGTTCTGATAAACAAAGTAATTCTGTCACTTTTGGCAGACGTGTTGATGGCGAGGTAAGTTGTACATGCTTTTTTTATGCCAAAACAAATGGATTTTTCCTCAGCGGGAAAATGTATTCCTTTCTGTGGATCCTTTGGCACCATCTGTTGTTCTGAATAACCTGTAGTGCCATGTGCTCAGTGGCCTGAGGGAGGAGATCACAATGCTTTTTTGGTAAGTAAGCAGGCTGGCAGCAGGCTTGTTTGAATCCAGGGCCCAGGGCAAAGAAGCGAGAAACTTGCAACTGGTTTCAAATCTCCTGCCCGTTGTACCCTTGAGCAAGGCATTTGTACCGCTGAAATAGGAAATAGGAGTGCTTTTTGTTTCAGACAAAATGTTAGTGGTGTGTGTGTGTGTGTGTGTGGCGTCCAGGGGAGTTGGGAAGAGAGCAGAATAAACATTTCCATCTCTGTTGATGGACTGAAACTATTCTAGTCTCCAAGCAGCTTTAGCAAAGCAAGACATCTGACAGAATAAGTAACAACAACAAAAAGTAATGAACCCTCCAACACCACCCCTCTGAAGGGGTTGGACATCAGGGCCAAAATGATTGGCGCCCTAGATAAAGACGAGCAAGAAAAGACCTGTCGAATAAATCATACAAATACTGGGCGATTATGTGCAAGGAAAATTGGGAAATATTTTTCTATGCTAATGCAATTGCTCAGAGAAAGAGATTTTTGTTTAAAAAGTAATATGGCAAATTCTGAAAAAAAGATAGGGGTCAATATTGGCACCCCTGTTTTCAATACCTCACCTTGAGAAGAACGTCACTGAGCCTTTTTCTACAAGGTTTTATGAGATTGAAGAACACATTTTAACGGATCTTAGACCATTCCTACATACAGAATCTTTCCAGACCCTTGATATTCTTCATCTGCGCTCATGGACTGTCCTCTTTGATTCAAACCACCGGTTTTCAATGGGGTTCAAGTCCAGAGACTGAGATGGTCGTTGCAAAATGTTGATTTTTGTGGTCAATTAACAATTTATTTGTGGATTTTGATGTGTGCTTGGAGTTGTTGTCTTGCTGGAAGATCCAGTTGCGGCCAAGTTTCAGTCTTCTGGCAGAGGCAACCATGTTTTTGGCTAAAATGTCCTGGTACTGGATAAAGTTCATGATGCTGTTGACCTTAACAAAGGCCCCAGGACCAGTGGAAGCAAAATAGCCCCGTAACATCAAAGATCCACCATCAAATCTGAGGTTATTTCTGAATCATTCTATCACTGCCAAGCCAATCACTAGTGGCCAAAGAGCTCTTTTAATATCATCCAACAAATGTAAAAATGTCTGGAGTTTGCTAAACGGCATTGGAACTTGGATTGGAACCGGTGTTATTGTCAGATGAAAATAGAGCTCTTTGGCCACGCACACCAGTGGTGGGTTTGGTGTCGAAAGAATGATGCATTTGCAGAAAATACTATGGTATACTGTAGTAGTATTACTATATTTTATATACTATAGTATTCACTGTTTTTGCACTGTTTGCGCAAAAACACTACAGTGAATACTGTAGTATTTACTCTAGTGTTTTTGTGGATATGACTAGTATAATGTAGTATTTACTTTAGTATTTTTGTTACTGCAGTAGACTAGTACTTACTGTGGTATTTTTGTTGTATCTTTTTTTATTGTCTTTTTGGGGCTTTCTCCTCTTTCTGGGGCTTTCTCCTCTTTCTGGGGCGTTCTCCTCGAGGAAACCTACTTGACAACTACTAAAAGAGCAAATTGTCCAAAACTAAGTAGGACTGGGGTCTGACCGGCTAGGTTCATAGCTTCTGCTCTTTTCTATAACCTGTAGGGAATTCATACCAATTCATCCCAAAGGTGTTCGACGGGGTTGACGTCAGGGCTCTGTGCAGGCCAGTCAAGTTCTTCCACACCGATCTCGATAAACCATTTCTGTATGGACCTTGCTTTGTGCACGGGGGTGAATTGAACAGGAAAGGGCCTTCCCCAGACTGTTGCCACAAAGTTGGAAGCACAGAATCGTCTAAAATGTCATTGTATGCTGTAGCGTTACGATTTCCCTTCACTGAAACTAAGGGGCCTAGCCCGAACCATGAAAAACAGCCCCAGACCATTATCCCTCCTCCACCTAAACTTTACAGTTGGCACTATGCATTCGGGCAGGTAGCGTTCTCCTGGCATCTGCCAAACCCAGATTTGTCCATCGGACTGTCATATGGTGAAGCGTGATTCATCACTCCAGAGAACGCATTTCCACTGCTCCAGAGTCCAATGGCGGCGAGCTTTACATCACTCCAGCCGACGCTTGGCATTGCGCATGGTGATCTTAGGCTTGTGTGCGGCTGCTCGGCCATGGAAACTAATTTCATGAAGCTCCCGACGAATAGTTCTAGTGCTGAAGTTGCTTCCAGAGGCAGTTTGGAACTTGGTAGTGAGTGTTGCAACCGAGGACAGACGATCTTTACGCTCTTCAGCACTCAACGGTCTCGTTCTGTGAGCTTGTGTGGCCTACCACTTCGTGGCTGAGCCGTTGTTGCTCCTAGACGTTTCCACTTCACAATAACAGCACTTACAGTTGACCGGGGCAGCTCTGGCAGGACAGAAATTTTACAAACTGACTTGTTGGAAAGGTGGCATCCCTATGACAGTGCCACGTTGAAAGTCACTGAGTTCTTCAGTGAGGCCATTCTACTGCCAATGTTTGTCTATGGAGATTGCACGGCTGTGTGCTCGATGTTATACACCTGTCAGCAACGGGTGTGGCTGAAATAGCCGAATCCACTAATTTGAAGGGGTGTCCACATACTGCGCTATATATAGTGTAGCTGTTGTACATGTATACTTCCACTAACATACCTGTTGTACACGCCAACCACCCATAAACAATGTATTAATCATACCATTTTATACTTTGAACAGATTGACTGTCTGTACAGGAATCCGCCTGAGCACACTGAAGACGTAATGGTGAAGACATGTGTCATAAAAATACATGAGAGACGTGAAGAAATGATCAGCACAATGAATGCTAGCCTCTTACAACCATCCTGATCTCACGATCTCACCTTCTGTTTCGTTACACAGATTAAATCGGTGTAAATCCCACTTAGCAAAACCCAATGTGAGCTCGCTAGATCAGGAAGGTCATATGAGGCTAAATGACTACACGGGCGAGACTCTTATTTGAGTGCATGAGCGAGATGTTTCAGCCTACCTGAAAGTCATTGGCCTTGTTGTAGTGCGTGTTGAGGGCTCTGAAGAGCTCCGAGTCTCTGCCCACTGTTAAATCCCTCACACTGTTCACCCCCTCCACTCGGGACTGACGGGCAAACTTCTCCATCTGAATATAGTAGAACTCTCTGAAGTTGCTGAACCATTTAATCAGCTGGGAGGTGATACAGCGAGTGAGCTGTATGGGAACACAAATAAAACAAATCGGTTTGGGTAAGTACATTCTTAAGTTATTTGAAGTAATGTCTGGGTTGATGCTTTTTTGTTATTTAATTTTACCTGATGTAGTTTACGTTCTATTTAGTTGATTTTAGTGTGTGCGTGTGTTGGTCAATCCACTGTTTCGACTGTCTATGTCAATAAATCGTGTATGAACTATTTGAATAAAGCAAATTGCCCACAGTTATGTGTTCAGTGATGATTTTTCAATTAGGGAATTTTATCTCAACGTTGGTTTGCCCATTCAGGCATTCACTCTACCAGTAGAACACGCCATAGGAAAGGTCATCCATTAACAAGAGATTTTTTTTTTTTATACCTGGACATTCATTATTACCTGGACATCGGGGAAAAAAGTTTTGAGCACGTTAGAACTAGGGTAGCGGGCGTAGAAGAACATCAACTTGGCTTTCTTCAGGTGCTGCGTGGTCAGACCCTCCTACAGCTCTGGTTATGGAGCTAACGCCATGTACTCAAACCATGCATACATCAGAATATTAATGGATGAAAGTATATTTTATTCCTAGAGTCAATCATGTCCTGTACCCTTTGCTTGTTTTCATCACAAAATAGGTTTTCACTACATTGCTAAACTTCATTATTACCGTGAGCACAGACTTCCTTTGAAAACAATTCTTAAGACCGGTATTCTTTTACATCAATGTTTTTCTCTGTTCCTGAATCATTAGACTACACTCGGATAGTAGAAGCAATTTCCTTAGGAGTAGAGATCACAAGATCAAAGGGGAAATTAACCTTGAAGTGCATCCTACCACAGCTACTAATGCTAACCCAAGCCTCATAGATATTGTTTTCCTGGAAAGAGAGAAGAACATTGGAAAGAAACATAATAGATGTTGGTTTATGGACTATCCTTGTGGGCAGATGAAGGATATTATTATGAGAGACTTACCTAAACCTCAAAGACAGGCAGAAGCTTTCTTAGACACAGTATTATTGATATGACTTGTGCCATATCTGAAGCCAATTGCCTCACTAAAGAAAGCCAACCAAAGAATCTATCATTTGATGGAGATGCCAGGCATTTGAAAAACACAGTTTGTGCTTGACCACAACCTATAACACTCATATTACAGATTCACTGACTAACTCTAATATTACAGATTCACTGCCTAACTCTAATATTACAGATTCACTGACTAACTCTAATATTACAGATTCACTGACTAACTCTAATATTACAGATTCACTGACTAACTCTAATATTACAGATTCACTGACTAACTCTAATATTACAGATTCACTGCCTAAATCTAATATTACAGATTCACTGCCTAAATCTAATATTACAGATTCACTGACTAACTCTAATATTACAGATTCACTGACTAACTCTAATATTACAGATTCACTGACTAACTCTAATATTACAGATTCACTGCCTAAATCTAATATTACAGATTCACTGCCTAAATCTAATATTACAGATTCACTGACTAACTCTAATATTACAGATTCACTGACTAACTCTAATATTACAGATTCACTGACTAACTCTAATATTACAGATTCACTGCCTAAATCTAATATTACAGATTCACTGCCTAAATCTAATATTACAGATTCACTGACTAACTCTAATATTACAGATTCACTGACTAACTCTAATATTACAGATTCACTGACTAACTCTAATATTACAGATTCACTGCCTAAATCTAATATTACAGATTCACTGCCTAAATCTAATATTACAGATTCACTGACTAACTCTAATATTACAGATTCACTGACTAACTCTAATATTACAGATTCACTGCCTAAATCTAATATTACAGATTCACTGCCTAACTCTCATATTCTATTCCAGCAGCATACCACCCTGCATCCCACTGGGTTGGTCCCTGGATGGGGGACCAGATGCTGCTGGAAGTGGTGTTGGAGGGCCAGTAGAGGCCAGTCTTCCTTCTGGTCTAAGGAGATCCCAATGCCCCAGGGCAGTGAAGGGGGACAATGCCCTGCGCAGGGTGCCGTCTTTCAGATGGGATGTTAAAACGGGTGTCCTGACTCTGTGGTCACTACAGATCCAATTGCACTTAGGGAGTGAACGTTGTTTATATAATAAGGGTCACAGGGAGAAAATCGGACCTCCGTGAAATGAAAATGGATGTCCTTCCCTTCAGCAAAACATATTTTACCTAAACCCTCCCTGAACGCTTAAAATAAGAGATATGAGGGGTGGCATCGGGACCCCATCGATATATAGACTAATAAGCAACTAATTCTAAAACACTGAGAAATGTATTCATCAATTAGAAATTACATGACCCTCCCCTGGACTACATTTAAAAAAAAAACTAAACCCTCCCCTTGACTGAAATTGGAAAAGCATGACCCTCTCCATTTTCCTCCAGGTAACCATTCTGTACATTTCGATCCATCCCTTAAGAGTAGGGGTGTTAAACCCGGTGTCCTGACTAAATTCCCAATCTGGCCCTCATACCATCATGGCCACCTAATCATGCCCAGCTTCCAGTTGTCTCATTCATCCCCTCTCTTTCCCCTGTAACTCTTTCCCAGGTTGTTACTGTAAAAGAGAATATGTTCTCAGTCATCTTACCTGGTAAAATAAGGGTTAATAAATTACTGATTCACTGACTAACTCTAATATTACTGATTCACTGACTAACTCTAATATTACAGATTCACTGACTAACTCTAATATTACAGATTCACTGACTAACTCAATGTAAAGTATATAGTAGAATTATATAGTTAAACTTCTTTCCCACTGTTTCTCCCACTTGCCTGTCACCCCACCTAATTTCCTTACTGTCTGAATCAAGTGGAAAAACACCTTAATTTAAAATAAATATAACACTCTTGTAAAGGATACATTCAGCACATACGAGGTCCTCTTCACCATCCTCTGGAAGCTACCACTGTCCATCTTGACGTGAGGGAGACTGAGACTGTCCAGAAGCACATGATGCCCTGTGGCCTGAGGACTCCTGGGTGGCCTGGAGGTCACCTTGGACCTCACTATGACCGGATCCCACGGTAAGTCAACCATCTCTGGGTTGGACAGACCCATGGTAGTGGGTCTACACTGGAGCCCTCCGAAGGTATCTTGATGGTAGCTGTTGTGTTTGAGGTTGTCCAGTACTTGGTGGTCTTCCTGTAGGGCAGTGGGGTGGTTGTATAGGAATGGAGGCTGGTGGAAATGGAGAGGCCTTTTCACAGTTAGGTTTAGAGAACATGGGCGAGTTATTGAAGCAGGCTTTTGAACAACCAGAGATAGAGCCTCGGTTTGAATCTCTTGTAGTTGTTGGGCCATACCACTCTCAGAACACGGGGGGAGCCGTGACATGCTGTCTACATGGGTGGACGTTGACGCTGGCTCGCGAGAGCTGAGGAACATGGTCTCATCGTCTGTTTCCACCATTCCCCCATCCTCGACGTGTAGCTGTGGTGACTTGACTAAAGTATGTGATATGTTTTTGAAAATGGAGTCAACGCTCGAGTTTACAGCTCTGATGAGTTCATACTTGAGAATGTCTGCTAGGAGTTTGTCTTCGTTGTCTGGGTTTGAGTGGAGGTAGTCAGTTATCTTGTCATTCTTCCATCCCAGATGACCTCTATCTAAAGGCGTCTTGTTGTTAAACTCACTGTAAGGGTCCAAGAACACCTCACCAGGAGATGTCTCTGTCTCCGGATATCCTTTGTTCCAAGTGCTATGGTGGTCCTCCGTTGAACCTGTCTCCTCACTGACATCCTCTTCAGACTCATTAGTCTGGTTCTCGTAGACCTGAATGAACCTTGCCTGGAGTTGACCCAGGAGCCTCTGCATGGTCTGAAGCTGCTTCCTCAGTGTATGTCCCTCCTCTGTACTCTTCCCGCTAGCGCCCCCTGTCCTCTGGAGGTCCTGGTGCTGCGGCACCCTCTGTTTCCTCTTGTTCTCCTGCTTGTTATCCAACATCTCACTCTGATGGTGACCGGTTGGAGTGGTCTCCCCTTCACCAAACCCTTCACCTGTGAAATAAACACTGAGAGGAGAGCCTGCCATGCCTCTGATGATGTTCTCCACTCTGGCACGCTTCGCCCGGTGTCTGTCCCCTAGCTCCAGCGTCCAGTCCTGGGTCAACCCGGCCCCGTTGGGGCTGAATCTAGTGGGGCTGGCCCCGGTGGATGCCAGGCTGGCTGGAGACAGAGGCTCCATGGTGGCGCTGCTGCTCTTGGATGAAATGCTGCTGTGGTGGTCCACCTGGCTAGGGCTCGTCGAGTCAGAGCTGGACATGGGAGTGTCTTGGGGGTAATATGTAGAGGTGCTCTCCTGCAGGGATCTTTTACTCTCTATGGTTGTCTGTAGGAGTGTAGAGATAAGGGATCCACCGCTTGACTGAGAGGAGGACTGAGGGGAGGAGGACTTGTATATGTTGTTGTGTAGAAAGGAGGGAGGATGCTCTGTCCTGTCCTCTGGGTAGGTGCTGCTGGAGGAAGGATGCATGCTGTGGTCCAAAAGGCTTGGCTCCATGCTTCATGAAAAAATAAAGACATTTACAATAAAATACATAACCACAAATATAGTTTACCGGAAAAACAGGGCTTTAGAAAGCATTTAGCGTTAGAAAGTGTTGTAATAAAATATTTAAAGAAAAACAATATTGTTCATGGAAAATCATCAATACTGCAAAATGTAATGTTATTTTCCCCAGAAAACAACATATAATTTTAATGATAAAACAAAACTAGGCTATATTTAACAGATGAACTAAAATAATATATTTGTGATTAATCTATAATTTTGCCATTGGTAATAACTATGAAATACTGTATTTCACTGGCAGTTTGAAAGTTATACGTTTTGTGAAGTAATCTACTAGACAACAATATTTGTATGTATTCATAGTGTGCAGCAATGATGCAGGAGCAAACAATATTACTCACATTTGACCTCAAAAGAGTGTTAAGGTAATGTCAATGCTAGAATTAAGCAAATATGCATCCTGTAGAAACACAATTAAAATCTTATTTTTTTAAGAAAACTGTTCAATAAAATGACTGGCACTAGCCATTTTCGTCTTTTATAAATGAGAAAATGCTCCATATATATCAATTTAGCAGCAGACAAGTTTTAAGACCCAAACGAGAATACCGGTTTGATCAAATCCAATCACACTATTTATTTTAATAGAAAATAGCAAGAATATCTGCACAGTTACTTTAAATGAGCATACTCTTTGTGGAGAAGATTTTGTTGCAGCCTACTGCCTACCTTTCACGTGTCTACTTCCAAAGAACCCACAGACACCGAAAAGAAAAGGATGCCTGACTACCTGTTGCGCTGAGGGAAGGTAGGCGTCCAGAGACGAGAGATGAATGATGCTTGCCACAGGGGAGAAGGATTATTATAAACAGAGGTTCTGTATTTAATATGAGCTACCTCCCCTATCATAAAAACGACATTGGTTTGTCCCTCGTTCTTTCCCGTCGGGGGCAGTAGGCAACGGTCGTAGCTAGATGAGATCCAGTTTTTGTCAAAATAACGCCAAACATTGACAATTATAGCTACCCCTAATCGTAACCTAATTATCCTAACCTGCCACATCAATTATTTTAACACGCTGCGTAAATTGTCCTGATCTGCTGCTAAGAAAAGTACAATCTGAAGTTAATTTGACAAAAGATGGATCCCTTCTAGCCATGACCCACTGTGACCGTTCCTGGTACTATCCCGAAGTGTTCTGAACTTCCCTACCGCTTCCTTGGTCGGTTTGCCACCACTGTTGCCGCTATGTTATCGCACTCCCGATGTCTTTGCCGGACACTTGGGCGCTCTCTGTCTGCGCTAAGTCAGGTAGGAGAGAAATACCAATTCAATTTCCCCGTGTACCGAATCGTTGGGTTTGGCAAAGCTTTTTTCAAGGCCATAACGTTAGCTATCGGGGAATAGGCCTCACCCAAACCTGCCAAGGACAGAATGACACCCGTCCCATGTCTAGCTAAGCTGCTAATGAAATGGCTTGCTTTCCCCTCTAATTACATGTATGAAATATACATATTTGGATAGCTACCTGTGCATAGTTGGTAGGAATATCACTAGAACCATTAACTTAGCTAGCTAAGTAAATTTTTTGAAGAGCCAACCGGTGACGCTAACGTTAGCTTGCTAGCTAGCGATTCTGAGCGTATTTACTAACTAGCCAGTTTTGCTAGCATTATGGTATTTCAAACGCTGGGGTCAGTTCTTAGTTAGCATGGCTTTGCTGGTTGTTGTTACTAAAAGAGCCAGTTAACTAGCTAGTTAGCTAACCGAGCCTAACTACCATAAGATTGCTAGCTAACAAGCTAGCCAAATTAACGTTACGGATGTCCTTTAGAATCCAGCTTCCAAATTAACAAACGTGAGTGTGACTTGTCAGGTATGCAACACTGATCTAATGCCTTAGGTCAGTGGTTCCCAAACCTTTTTCGGTTGTTTGACCACCAACTGAATTTTGCTCTGCCTGGAGTACCCCTGAAGTAGCCTACCATAGTCTTCTCAAGTACCCCCTGTGGATAGGCCAAGTACCCCCAGTGATCCTAGTACCCCTGGTTGGGAACCACTGCCTTAGGTAGCAACGTTAGCTAGCTAGCTATACACATTCACATCATTGTCAAGACACACTTCAGCCACAACTCTCATGCATAGACTGCAGAGAGTTATTCCCCAGCTAGCAGCACATTTGACTTTCTCGTGCATTTATTTTACAGCTTGACCTCTGTTTGAAACCTATGCCAGAGATAGCCCGTGTCGTGCCAGGCGTGAGCTAGTCTTGTGTGTAGTTCAGCAAGTCTTCAGGTGTCTCTCCAACCCCACTTTCACTACACCAACTTACACAACTAGTGTAAGCTATAGCTATAGCTAGCTTCTCTTTGACTATTTCACACTGACCCACTACCAGAGAGCTAAGAGAAGAGTCATATATTTCCATACCTATGACAAATCATTAGCTACTTGATTGCGGTGTTTGTGTTTAAACACTATGCCACACAAATTACTTATCTGAAGAGGGTTTATACCAGCTCCCCTTTTGAGTAAAAACACATTGCCCAACTAGTTTGTTGTCAATGGCCTTGATCAGAGCTAGGCCATAACATGCATTGCTCTGGTAAAGGCAATGGGTGTAGTGGGGCGCTGTGCAGGATCATATTGCATGCATTTCATCAAATGTTTGTTTGAACAGCAACCAGTTCAACTGGCGTAACCATCCACTTGTTTTGTGACTGCGTAGGTGATCCCTTTTTGTCGAGAGGAAAAGTTATCCAGTAATTGTATTGTATGAAGGTTTGTTGTTAGGTGATGGGGTACTACAGATGAAAACCATAGACTGAAAAAAGATAAAGGAAAGCGGGGATAACCTGTATCAAAGGTGAAGGGAAGAGGGGATAACCTGTATCAAAGGTGAAGGAAAGAGGGGATAACCTGTATCAAAGGTGAAGGAAAGAGGGGATAACCTGTATCAAAGGTGAAGGAAAGAGGGGATAACCTGTATCAAAGGTGAAGGAAAGAGGGGATAACCTGTATCAAAGGTGAAGGGAAGAGGGGATAACCTGTATCAAAGGTGAAGGGAAGAGGGCATAACCTGTATCAAAGGAGAAGGGAAGAGGGAACCTTGCTCAAGGACACAATACATATTTTTCACCTTGACGGCTCGGGTATTTGAACCAGCGACCTTTCGGTTATTGGCCCAACGCTCTAACCGGTAGGCTACCTGCCCCCTATAACTATAGGAGGTAGTGTTAGGCCTATAGGAGGTAGTGTTAGGCCTATAGGAGGTAGTGTTAGGCCTATAGGAAGTAGTGTTAGGCCTATAGGAGGTAGTGTTAGGAGGTAGTGTTGGGCCTATAGGAGGTAGTGTTAGGAGGTAGTGTTAGGCCTATAGGAGGTAGTGTTAGGAGGTAGTGTTAGGCCTATAGGAGGTAGTGTTAGGCCTATAGGAGGTAGTGTTAGGCCTATAGGAGGTAGTGTTAGGCCTATAGGAGGTAGTGTTAGTAGGTAGTGTTAGGCCTATAGGAGGTAGTGTTAGGAGGTAGTGTTAGGAGGTAGTGTTAGGCCTATAGGAGGTAGTGTTAGGAGGTAGTTAGGCCTATAGGAGGTAGTGTTAGGCCTATAGGAGGTAGTGTTAGTAGGTAGTGTTAGGCCTATAGGAGGTAGTGTTAGGAGGTAGTGTTAGGCCTATAGGAGGTAGTGTTAGGCCTATAGGAGGTAGTGTTAGGCCTATAGGAGGTAGTGTTAGGCCTATAGGAGGTAGTGTTAGTAGGTAGTGTTAGGCCTATAGGAGGTAGTGTTAAGCCTATAGGAGGTAGTGTTAGGCCTATAGGAAGTAGTGTTAGGCCTATAGGAGGTAGTGTTAGGAGGTAGTGTTAGGCCTATAGGAGGTAGTGTTAGGCCTATAGGAGGTAGTTATAGGAGGTAGTGTTAGGCCTATAGGAGGTAGTGTTAGTAGGTAGTGTTAGGCCTATAGGAGGTAGTGTTAGGCCTATAGGAGGTAGTGTTAGGAGGTAGTGTTAGGCCTATAGGAGGTAGTGTTAGGAGGTAGTGTTAGGCCTATAGGAGGTAGTGTTAGGGGGTAGTGTTAGGCCTATAGGAGGTAGTGTTAGGGGGTAGTGTTAGGCCTATAGGAGGTAGTGTTAGTAGGTAGTGTTAGGCCTGTAGGAGGTAGTGTTAGGCCTATAGGAGGTAGTGTTAGGCCTATAGGAGGTAGTGTTAGTAGGTAGTGTTAGGCCTATAGGAGGTATTGTTAGGCCTATAGGAGGTAGTGTTAGGCCTATAGGAGGTAGTGTTAGTAGGTAGTGTTAGGCCTATAGGAGGTAGTGTTAGGCCTATAGGAAGTAGTGTTAGGCCTATAGGAGGTAGTGTTAGGAGGTAGTGTTAGGCCTATAGGAGGTATTGTTAGGCCTATAGGAGGTAGTGTTAGGCCTATAGGAGGTAGTGTTAGGCCTATAGAGGTAGTGTTAGTAGGTAGTGTTAGGCCTATAGGAGGTAGTGTTAGGCCTATAGGAGGTAGTGTTAGGCCTATAGTAGGTAGTGTTAGGCCTATAGGAGGTAGTGTTAGGAGGTAGTGTTAGGCCTATAGGAGGTAGTGTTAGGAGGTAGTGTTAGGCCTATAGGAGGTAGGATTAGGAGGTAGTGTTAGGCCAATAGGAGGTAGTGTTAGGATATATTTAATCTAACACACCGGAGCAGTATGCTATTTGCCTCAACTGCTATAGATTCAAAGGAAACTTCATGCAAGCAAACATATAGAATTAATATGTAGGCCTTATTGATTCTGATGCGGCCCAGTGGAGAATTAAACAGGACATTTAACTTTCTACCTTAAACATTTCTTTTCAGGGGAATAATGTTCTGGCTGGAAGGACTGCTTCAGGTGAGCAGGTCGTCCTCTCTCTTTCTCTGCACAGTTCGTTAGGGTTGAGCGGTACAGGGTCCTCCTCTTTGTTAGTGCACACCGTAACAAAACTTTTTGCAACGAAAAACAATCTTTCCAG